GCTATGTTAATCGGGCACATCTTTGAAACCGGCGTTAGCTGATGTAATGGCCGAGGTACCTGTTGATAGGTTCATTGTCCTGTTCACGTAAGGTGGATCATCTGAGTGAGAGATTTTATTCAATAGTGTTTAGCCGAAATGCCGTAGTGTTCATACGTGTATGCTATAATGTTTAACCGAATATCTTATTGTTGATATCTTGAGCAGTGTATTAATGTGGTACCACAGTCGTACATTGGCAGCAGCTAACATGTACTTAACTTGCTATAGCACAGCGATCGGCCGTTCGCTGTATCATATTACTATCTTGGCAAATGATTAATCGAACGAAACCTCTATAATTTGAATAAAAAAATGACTATGTTTAGCAGCCATATGATCGTGTTTAAAATTGATTCATAGAAGATATACTTACAGCTGTTCTTTTTCAAAGTAATTGAAGAAGAGAAGACAATCTGAAAAGTGCACGCATCATACATATTTAAACATTTCCTCCGTGCTAAAACAATGGAGAACAAGTCATATTCTTTCCAGAAATAAATATAGTAGAAAAAAAGAAGAACAGAACATATTCTTGCTTTTTTATTCTATACGATCTTCCCTAATTGATCCTTCTTCTCAGACATGACCGCTAGTACATTGGGTACACCCAACTTTTTCAGCAAAATAGCCATGGTGAACGTTGCCGCTGCTACTGGCCAAAAAAAGGGTATTTGGTTTGGTAAACGGCACTGATGAATAGCTCTTACGCCTGTGGCAGTGGTAGCTGGCGCACGGATAGGCTTTAGAGCTGCCATCGTAGCCAATATAATGTACTACAACAGTAACAATAGTAATTAGGCAATTAGTAACAAAATAAACGGTCACTCTGCCATTTGTTAAGTTCAAGAAATGCGTACTCCTGGATAGATGAGCGCAAAGACACCGCCGGCGTGTAATGTGGACAGGAAAAATGTCAAGGAAGCAGCAGGAAGGCCTGTTGTCATCAAACTTTTATTGGTAAACCGAGCGCAGCATTGAAAGAAAAAGAGAAAGCTATTAAGCGACTGTACCAAATCCGAGGAAAAATGCCCAATTTCGCTCAACGTGTCTCAACCGTTGATCTAAAGACCACTGTAAATGAACCCATTTGTATCTACCAAAAAGAATAAGACGTATGACATAGATCAGTACCAATCATGATTGAGGTAAACACTTGAACAACTCAATGAGAGAGCATACTCAAAGCTATAATAGGCCATGAACAGGCATGTAACGAAAAATGAAAGAGCAGCTCCAATGAAAGGAACCAAGTATAACAGCCTCGCAAATGCTGCACAGTTAATATAAAAGAGTGCATTGCCGATAGCTGATGCTGCTGAGGTTGCCATTGTCGGACGCTGGTATTCGTTGGCATGAATCTGGAAAGCCTCTAAAGCAATTTGGGAGAACAGGTTTGAATTCACCATGAGGCATAGCAGGTACATTGGATAACCTGTCAAGTGCTTCGCGCGTATTCCATGTATAAAAGGTTAGCCTTTGCTGTATCAACGATGCATCAGGCAATGGAACACATGTAGGATATTTTACAGTATAAGAGTAGCCAAAAATCGTATGATCCGTATAGAGCGTGTCGAGGGCTAATAGAACGCCAAGATAGATAAAGCCATTGAGACAAACGGTCTTGATGATGGCCACTTGGATAACGCGGGAACTGTTTTTTTTTACGTTTCGGTATAAGATTCCAGGTGGTATAAAATGTTGTCGTTGGCTAGTACTTGCGAGTATACGAGCGAAATCGCCCTCATCCACTGGAAGGCTTGTTGTAGTCCACTGAGAAAGTATAGCCCATGCTCAACAATGGTCCCCATGGCGAATCGTATGGTGCTTTGTGGTTTCCTGGAAAGAAACAAAAAAGAAAAAGACGCTTCTGCGTGTGTGTAATGAAAGACCAAGTTTGATGTCCGCTAACGAAAAAACATATATTTTTTTAAAAGCTGAAGCTAGAGCGGACGGCTTTGCTTTCTTGAACTCTTCTAACATTTTTTCATCATGTCGTGGAACGATGGCGACTATGGAAACTCTAGTGGTGCGCTTAATGTTCGCTTTTACAATTAAACCATTCAATTGAAACATTTGAATGATCGCTAACAAATTTTATACTTTTGACAGGAATGCAAAGTGCAGCTGATCATGCCAGTAATTTCTTGAATTCCATTGGCCAAGAATTGCAAGGCTCTTCTGAAGCTCCTTACACCGTTGAGAATCCTGGTATGTGTTGAGCTAAAAGAACAACATTTTCTACAACTCGCATAGATCGCTCTGATTTATGCTAGAAAGAAAGACAAAAAAAGAAAACTTATTCGTTTTATATATACTTTCTTCTAAACTGCTCACCACAACAACCACGTCGCTGGCGTAGAAAATCACGAAGGCAATGGTGGCTACCACGGGGACGAAAGATATCTCAGAGAAGAACCTAGCGGTTACTACAAGGACGAAGGTTATTATAGAGATGAAGGCAATTTTCACAGAAGTGAAGGCTATCGTAGTGAAAGTCGACGACGACATAGCAGCAGAGATCGATACAGAGACCGCTCTCGTGAACGAGAAGGCAGACGACGACGCGATAGGTCAAGAGACAACAGACGAGAGCGCTCACGCGATCGTCGTCACAGAAGTAGGAACCGAGATGATAGGGACTACCGTCGATCGCGTAACCACAGCCCTGGAGCGCGACGTAATAGACGTAGCACGAGTTCTACAGGTCGTCGTGACGAACCTACAGTTCCACTTCACAAGAGAGAAAGAAAGCTTCAAAATTGGGATATGGCTCCGCCGGGCATGGAAGGCATGACGGCAGAGCAGGTTAAGCAAACAGGTAGGTTGTTGTTGGTGGAAAAGGAAGGACGCGCTTTTTGTTTAAATCTTTGCTAATCAACAAACATATAGGATTATTCCCCCTACCCGGACAGGTTGTTGGTACTCGCACACCTCAGTCGTTTGCACCACCTAGTGAACATGCTTTAATGGCAGATGGCTCGCGGGTGAGAATTACACAGGGTGCTGCTGGTCCAGTAGCACTTAATGCAACACTAGCAAGACAGGCACGCCGTTTGTATGTGGGTCAGATACCTTTTGAGATTGATGAGAAGGCTATGGCGGACTTTTTCAACAGCACGATGCAGCAGCTAGCAAGCACCGAAGGCGACGCAGTAGTTTCAGTTCAGATCAATCACGACAAGAACTATGCGTTTGTTGAGGTAAACGAACGTTCTATTCGTAATATATTCTTTGATCACTATCGACGTATTGTCTTCTTACCCGCATTTTGACTTTCAACAAAAATTAGTTCGAAACCCCAGAACAAGCTACGCAAGCAATGGCTTTTGATGGTATTAACTTCCAAACACAGACTTTGAAGATTCGTCGACCAAAGGATTATCAACCACCTACAGACGGCAACTATCAAGATAACAGTAATGGTATGTGCAAGAGAAATGGCCAGATAAGGGTGGGGGCGGGAAAAGATATATTACTAACTGAAGAAATACCCTAGCCCCATCTACAACGAGCGCTGTCCCTGACACACCCAACAAAATCTTTATTGGAGGTTTGCCCATTTATCTTAATGAAGACCAGGTCGTCGAATTGCTCAAGTCGTTTGGTGAATTGCGTGCTTTCAACCTTGTCAAAGATCCACATACGATGCAATCCAAGGTAAGTAAAAAAAACTTTCGCATAACAGTAGAAACTTCGGATGCACTGACTCACTTTTTCCGTTGGTGATTATAGGGCTTCGCTTTTTGTGAATATGCTGATCCAAGTGTCACGGATTTGGCATGTCAAGGTTTAAATAATATGGAATTAGGCGATAAGAGACTTGTTGTGCAGCGCGCAAGCGTTGGTGCAAAACAGGGAGGATCTGATGGACCTTCATCTGGAGGAAATAGAGATGGCGGAAGAGACGGAGGGATGCCATTATCTTTTGTGCCTTCAGGAGTCAAGGACGATGAAGCCACTCGAGTTTTGCAGCTCATGAATATGGTAACACCTGAAGAACTCGAAGACGATGAAGAATTTCAAGGTAAATAGAATCATACTTTCCTACGAAAAAGAAGAGTGTCATTTCCACATGTATATATAACCAGTGTATTGCTTTTTCTCTATAACACAGATATTTGGGAAGATATTGCAGAAGAATGTTCAAAGTTCGGCGTTGTGTTGGATATGAAGATTCCTCGACCTCAGAGTGGACAGAATGTTGTAGGACTTGGCAAGGTCAGTAAGCTCTCTATTCTAAAGTTATATGCTAAGCTTCGGGTAAAGTGGATATATTGATATTTTATCTATCTTTCAAATTAGATCTTTGTTCGATTTGAAAATCAAGATCAAGCTTTGAGCGCTTTGAGAGCTCTTGCAGGTCGCAAATTCGCTGACCGAACGGTAGTTTCATCATTTGTTGACGAGGACAACTACCTTGCTGATGCTTTCTAGGACGATCAACTGCACCTTTTCTATTTCACCATTCAAAAACAGTCCATACGATATTACTCTTTTTTTTTTTGCGCCTGTAGGATCATATTAGATTAAGTCAGTCTCCCCCCTTTCTATCCCCGGTTTCCACCAAAAAAAAAACGAAAATGAAAACAAAACAGCATATATGTTGATATTTAGGTTAAAGGAAAATTGCTTTTGTTGAAATGAAAAAAAGTATAAAAAGATAGTTAAAAAACAAAATGTATGATGCGCGCTAGATTTTTGGGTGACCAAGTTTAATCGATTAGAGAAAAAAAAGAAGACAGAATGCATATTATTATGGGGTTTGTGTTTCTTAAGTCCACAGTCGTAGAGATCCGTCAGCACCAGAAGAGAAGATCCATGGCTGTGTGGGGTGGAACTCAATGTTCAGGACACCTAGAAATCACAAGAAATGTGGCATGAGTAGATGATATCGTAGAAGAACAAACAAAAATATAGAACTTACCAAGACTATCCTTAGTTTCGTGACCTTTCAGAATCTTGACTGGGACAATCAATGGATTCTGGAGCAAGTCGTTGTAAACCATGCCATAGAATACTTGAATAGTGCCGTCGTCTGATGATGATGCAAACAGAGGATAACGGCGATGATATGATACTTCACGCACGGCCTTTTCGTGGTATCTATTCAAAATTTCCCAGTTCAAAATTGCGATTCTCATTAATCTTATATATTCTTCATCTTTTGCCTACCTCATTGACTTGTATGGACGAGAACCAAGATCCATATCAAACCAGCACACCTTCTTATCGTAACTACCGATAATCAAGTTATCTCCTCCCGGATGAACATCAACACTTGAAATCCATTTTACGCCGGGCTGCAGAGTCTTGACTAATTGCTGTTGCATTAAGTCGTATACTCGTACATAGATTTGAGTCTATTAGAGCACAAACACGTTAGTGAGACATGTCGAGTGCTGGATTCAGTGTTCCCTATCTCTTTCTTGTTCTTTTATACATACCGCGACAAAGAAGATTGGTTTTATAGGATGGAAGGCGACCTTTTGGACGATACCCTTGAGTCGATTGAATGGAGTTTGTGTCTGATGCTTGGTTGCCTGGTGGATCAGCACCTGTCGAGCATCCGGTGCAACTGTTGCGAAATAATCGCCCTTGCGATGCCAGGTAACCTGCTTAACAGTTTGGCTATGTTGCAATCGTACTTTGAAACCGTATTTCTCTTCATCCTTCTCAGAAGGTTTAGACCAGCTAACCACTTGTCGTGTCTTTTCTTCATCTGAGACAGGTCGGGTGTAGCCGGCCTTGATGTATTGGTCCGTCGCCATGGCAACTTCGCCAGAACAGATCCTTGGTGGCGAGACCAAGAGCACTTCGCCGTGGCCAACGGATACAGCAAACAGCCAGATGTCAGGGTTGGGGTTCCAAGAAATCGCATGAATCACGTCCTTGAATTGCCATAGGAAGAGACAGCGTCCCGTAGAAACCTCCCACATGCGGATGGTATGATCGTCAGAGCCTGATAATAAGTAGAGTCCAGAGGAGTGCACAGACAGGCAACGGATGCGTGCAGTGTGACCGTCGTAAGAGAGAGACTGGGCTGTAGGGAACGGCTGCAAGTCCTTGGGACTTGGCAGTTTTGGTATGAGGGAGTCGGGGTCGACGTTGAGCTAAAAGTATGGCCGTTAGCGATTTTGTTGTTGTTTTTTTTCCACTGGTTTATATATAACCACTTACTCTGTTCTTTCGCACACGCGGTGCCAAATACAAGTCCAAGCAACGCTGGAATCGTTCCTGGATAAATCGGTCGTATGCCGGGACATGGCGCAAGCTCTTGAATCTGTTATACACGAGTTTTCATTGATTGGTACAGCAGCTCCATAACTCAAAATTTGCATAAAGACGTATACACTCACTTTTTGGGAAGGTAGTTCTTTGGTCGATCTTCAGGATCCATTTCGTTCCATTCCTTGGTCTCCTGTTCGTCGGGAAGATATTCTTCGGGTGGGTTGTAACTTTCATCGTGTTCTGGCAGCTTCACCTTTGGTGCAACAATGTGCATAATGTGATCCTCGCGCGGCTTATCATCTTCTCCCCACAAGTTATAGAATCGTGGCTTTTCATCCTTTGGCTTTCTTGGAACAATTCGGCCTTGGCGAATAGCTTTGACAATTTTCATGACCTACGTACAAGATAATTTCAATTAGCATTTTAAAAATATTGTTGATTTCTATCAGCAACGATGTATAGGATTTCTCTTTGGGCTTTTCGTACCTTCTTAGCTTCCCACTTGGAAGGAATGAAACGGCGCTTGGGTTCAGGTCGGGCAGACAAGGGCATTTGTTCGGTCTTGCTGGTGAACCATTCCACTGTTGGCTCGTAAGGATTGTAATCAGAATCAGGGATAATACCTCGTTGTAACCGTTGAATGATATCCATTTCCTCGTCGTTCAATACAATATCCTTGCCCTCCTTGTCACTACGCACAGTCTTCCACGAGTCTGGGTCGTCCATTGTAGCCAAGAACTTTTCGAGTTCGTCTGCAGTTGCTGGCTTCAAGATCTTTTTGCCATCAATGTCATAGCCAATGTGGGGCATATCCTTGTACCAATCTGCTGGCACGTTACCGACAGTGTTTTCGGTCTGTATACAAGACATTACATTAGAACTTGTACCTATTTTCCATTTACAGAATATCCTGTTATCTATATCACAAACCTCTTCTGTCGAACTGTCACTATCATAGTTGGCCTCAATCTCTGGCAATTTCTCAAGCGAAGGATTCCTGATAGGTTACAAATATATGAGTTATACCGATACTCGAGCAAGTTCCACTAATAAGTTCTCCCGGAAACTTACTGCTTGGTCAAATCTTCCTCTTCCAGATCAGCTTCATCCAAACTGTCGCCAGCCATATAATCGTCATCTTCCTCTTCATCCTCCTCGTCTTCTTCATCGCTTTCCTCGGCCAAATCGGCATCGGCCTTTTCGTCGTTATAGTCACTATCGTCTTCGTCGCTGCTAATGCTCAATTCAGGGAACTCTTCGATTTCACTGTCGCTTTCGTCGATATCGTTTTCTTGCATCTCGATTTCTTCGTCATCGTCGTCGTCCGCATCGTCTGCATCAAGGTTGATCTCACCATAATCGGAATCGCTGTCGTCATCGCTTTCTTCCACGATCTCGGCAGCGCGCTTCTTTGACGATCGCTTGCCACGGATTGGTGCAGCTGCTGTCATGGTCTTCGTAGTAGCAGTAGCGGGTTGTGCAGTCGATTTCGTTCGAAGGGCAGGTTTGGCGATTTTGGCATCAGCCTTAGCAGGCTCCTTGGAAGTCTTTGGGGCCTTTTCGTGAAGCTTGGCTGCAAACTTCACTGTCTTTTTCGGCATGGCAAAAAAAGATCTAAAACGGTGGGTTCAAGCAAGGAAGGTGAAAAGAAGAAGAAAAAAAAAAGGCAACTCCTACCTGCCAAAAATGTCGTCGGGTTCTATGGGCTTTAAGGCCCGTGGCTTAGGGAGTGCCTTCTCGGCTGGTTGGCATTTAATCCCCATTTATGGGATTTGGGTGCTGCTTGAAATTTCTCGGAATAATTATAGGACACACACCCTTTTCTTTCCACACAACACTACTGTTTTAGGCTCATGTGCGGCCGATTCGCGTGTTCACTATGCCCCGATGCACTGAGAAATAAAGTCAAGGAGAGCAATGTTCAAGTGAGCGATCAGTGGCTGGCAGAAGATAAGTTTTATTCAAGCTTCAACGTCGGACCACGCAAGAACATTCCCGTGGTACGACGACGATCGTCAGAGCACGATCAAAGTGAGATCGTTATGCAAACTATGCGTTGGGGTTATATACCATGCTGGGCAAAGCAATATCCTGAACGTCAGGTATGACTCTCATATGAGATGATGAATAATAAAATATCCTTATAACTCCCTTACTATTCCATGTGTTTTTTTGTAATTGATTTTTTTGGGCGTTGGTGGATGATCTAGCCGATCAATGCGCGCGACGATACATTATCAGAAGGGCAGTCTATGTTTGACCGCGGAAAGAATAAGGGTCGCTGTATTGTGGTCGCAGAAGGGTAAGTTGAGATGCAATGCTGCATTTAGCTTAGCTATCATTTAAACGTCATTGTGGACTCTTAGATTCTATGAATGGAAGCAGCTAGCCAGCGGCAAGAAAATACCACATTATACAAAGCGCAAAGATGGAAAATTGATGCTATTTGCTGGGCTTTATGATGTGTCTCATCTCGAAGGCAATGATGGTAATAACATGAAGCGAGTATGCATGAATATTCGAATGAGGACGTTGTCTTATCTTTTGTTGTCACATAGGACAGCCCTTATATACCTGTACCATCATCACCACATCGGCGTCGTCATTTTTTGAATTCTTGCATGATCGTATGCCTGTCATATTGGAGAACGGTTCGCCAGATGTTGCTACGTGGTTATCGGATGAGCCCTGGAGCAAGAAACATGTACAGCTTATGCGACCTTTTGAAGGAAAGTTAGACTGGTAAGTGGGATGTTAACGCATGCACATTCATGACTTGGAATTCAACTGTACATGTTGCATACTGTGCGTACTCAAAAAACAAAAACAAAACAAAAGCTATCAAGTAACGGACGCTGTGGGATCAACCAAGAACAATTCGCCTGATTTCGTGGTACCTGTTGATCAGCTCAAAGGATCGATTTCGAATTTCTTCAAGAAAACACCACAGCAACCAACAGTGGCAGGACTTAAACGGGAGCACAGCGACGATCCTGATGAGAAGTTAGTAGTGGAATCCAAAAAAAGAGACACGAAGAGTAGTGACACAAAGAAAGAAAAACAAGAGGATAATGGCAAGAGCAAGAAAAAGATTACGAGTTTCTTCAAGGAGAAAAAGTGATTAGTTTGGGTTATTCTGTAGTGTGAATGTATCTTTTATTACATAAAGATGGCTAGCGTAAAGTTGCCTTCGTTGCGTATAACAACTTTGCTATTAAGTTTTGGTAACTCCATGTTAGTGCCTTTTATAATAGGAGATAGAGAGTGCTTCTTTCTGACAAATTACCTGTGTTCGTAATCCAGCGTGATTATCGGGTATTGTGATTTATCCTGTCCTTCTGGTTCACGTATAAGAAGTTCACGAGCTGTTCGTGCAATCGCTGCTGCGTTTGCAGCTGCATCGCTCTTTGCAATGCCTCGTGCTGTTGCAAGTCAAACAAACTTAGTATTGAGTTGTCTTTAAAATATAGTTTTGCGCGATCAGCAGACAAGCACTTACCACCAAGACATAAACCCATTTCGTCTGCTAGTAATACACCTTTAACATCTTCTCTGCTCGCACTTGAAAAATAAAACGTAAAAACAACTCAATAAAGAGGCTCAGAGATGCATGTGTTAACAAACGAGGAAGAAGGAACGCTCACATTTGATCGAGTGTTGCAATTAGGTCTGATTCCATATTTTATGCTGGATAGTCCCCAGAAGAAATACGCTTCGGAATTTTGGGTTCTTTTTTTGGGAGGAGCAAGATGCAAACAAAGAAGGGACCAGTTGTTATTTATGCAGTTGTACGCTGAGGTACATTGACAACAAAAAAAAACAGCGTCTCGAAGTCTCGATAGTATTCACATCCTTACTGGAATATCTATGCGAATTGCAGCAATTTCTTCACTTTTGAAAAAAAATTACAAGCTGTTTTTTAGAGCTCTAGGTTTAGATTGTGTGTGTGAGGATCTTTTCTGCATAAGCATAGCCGACGTAGTATGATCTCAATATATTGGCGAGCATCATCCCATAAACATCCCGTAGTAGCTCTTGAAGATTCGTTAATCAATGGTTGCGACAAAGTAGACTCACAGGCGGAACAGTCATTCACAAAAGCCCTTTGTATGTAGATTCTCTATGACTATAGATTCTCAGCAACCGCGAATCAACGCTCGCCACGGTCGTTTCTTGGTAGAACAAAATGCAAAATGGTAAAAAGTCGTTGTATTTAACCTAGATAGTTTACACAAAAGAAATGGAGTAGTAGCGAGCAAACAACAAAATCAGCAAAAGATCTACATGATTACATGTAAAAAACAACGGCGCATGAGTTAAGACCATATTTTGGATTACAATTTCTAGGGGAGCTTGTTTCTTACCGCTCTGGGGATATCGTCTTGAACATGTCCTTGTTTTGTGAGTTGGTTTGTATGCGCAAGTTGACTAAAAAGAATGTGAGTACCACCGTCAGCGCGTCTCGATTTACCAGAAAAAACCCGGTGTTTAGTCATTACCTGCGAGGACAAAGCTGCCAACGGTTGAAATGAACCCTGCCAAAAAGGCATTGTAGGGAAACGTGCCGACAGTCGCCATGTAGATGAACTGAAAGATGCCGGAGAGCATAATGTACGCGAGATAAATGTCGACGATCTTTAGGTTTGTAGGCGTATCGTTCTTGTACGCCACAGCGAACTTTTGTAACGCGTTAGAGAGCTCCGTGTTTGCTGGCATGGTCGACGACGAGAAATATTTATATGAAAGGGGGGAAGCCAGAAAGAGACGGTTTCCAAGCAATTATAATTTGAGGGACGGCAGGTCCGCTGTCCCGATATGGTAGCGTCGTACAACCAATAGCACTGATAGTGTCTTTTTGCATACCGTTCTGCTTAACATCATAGCCTACTGTCTTTATCATATCTCTGGACGGAGCAGATGAATCGCTAATATGAAATTTTGTACGTAGGTACAAAAGCACTCTTTTACATATTCCATATGGCATCTAGCGAGACTGCTCCTTATCAGCAAATGATAGCGTCGATCCATCAGTTAAAAGGTAGGTCATACCGTAGCTAATAGTAAGCCAACCTTATCACAAACTATGATTTGAATTGAATCATACAGTGAATTTAATTTCGTGTTCCTGGGGTTGTTTACAAGGTACGGGGACTAGATCGATTGGGTGTGTTCCTGAGAAAGCTTTTTTGTTTGACGTTGCTCTGAAACTCTTTTAGCGCTATTTGGTAATCCTGGACCAGTTCCCAATATATTAATTTGCTAATGAGATCCCGACAGACCCTGCACAGAAGAAGTCTACTCCTTCTCAGCTAGTGCTGCAATAGCTAAAAGCAGAGAAGGGCTATATTTGTGCGTTTGCCCTATTACTTGACTCCAGGTAATTTAATACATATATAAAATTTATAACCTTGGTAGCAGTAAGATAGAAAAGGCCACGTTGTATGGGTAACCAAGGCAACTAAAAAAAAAGAGAAACTGGCGGGGTTGCTACCCAAGGCGCTGTCCGTTTTCGGCTAAGGCTCGTTTTTCATAACTTTTTTTTTCTCCCTCCAAAATCCACCTCTGCAACTTGAGAGCTATTTCTCTTTTCACTCTCCTTCACCTGAATCCGTCATTTCTTTTTTTTTTCTTACTTCTCTGAAAAGCGATAAAGCACACACATACTCACACATACACACTTTGACTGGATTGAATCTCCTTGCACGATGGATCAAGCCGATGTCAAGGTTGAATATACCATACCAGTAAAACGCCAAGCGTCGACAAGCAGTAAAAAAGGGATCAACGGTCAAAAGAACAATAGCACAGGCAATGCACGAGTCAACGATGGCGCTGGATCGGTTCCAGAATTCATTCAAAAGCTCTTTAGGTAACTCTTGATAGTCTGGGTTTATACTCATTTTCTCTGTATGTGTATGTGTATGTGTATGTGTATCTGTGTGTGTCTGCGTAGTACGTGCGTAGATACATGTATCAGGGAGAGGGATGTGAGGAAACATTTGTTGGGGACTGATGCACATACGTACATATATGCTTACAAACCTCTTTAGGATGCTAGAAAACAAAGCTTTCAAACAGACCTTTTGCTGGGGCCCGGATGGAACTACGTTCGTTGTCAAGGATACCAATGAATTTGCCAAAACAATTCTCCCAAAGCACTTTAAACACTGCAATTTTGCAAGCTTTGTGCGCCAGCTTAACAAATACGATTTCCACAAGGTTCGGAACGCGGAAGATGGGCATAAACCCTATGGTGATCAGGTGAGCTACAGAACTCTGATGCAAACGGTTTCAGCTGTGCGCTATTCTTTTTGCTTCTAGTTCTCTCACTCACGTATGTGCTTTGTATGTAGGCTTGGGAGTTTGTGCATCCGAAGTTTAGACGGGACCGTAAAGATCTGTTGGAGGAGATACGGAGAAAGACACCGGGCAAGCAGAAAAAGGATGAGGCTGCTGCTGCTGCTGCTACTGGTGGTGGAGGCAGTGGCAATAACGGTGGTAGTGGGGCATCAGGTACCAAGGACAAAAATTCGGGTCCCGATGGACTGAACGCATCCAAAGAAGACGAGGACCAATTGTCTTCAGAGTCGCTTAACGAGATTCGGCAGTTAACAGAATCTCTCCAGAGCCAAGTCAGTCAGCTTCAGCAATCACAGGCGACTATGGAATCAACCGTACAACGTCTTACGAGTAACGACCATTTGATTCTCAACGAGTTTATGAATTTCAGCAAAAACATGGCTGCCAAGGATGAACTCATTCGGCAGTTCCTTCAGATAGCAGTAAATCGGGATAAGGGTAAGGACCGCCATCCTTTATTAGATATTGCTAGAAGCAAGTTAATTTTGACACCTTTTTATTTCCTTATATTGATCAGAACGAGCTCATGCACAACCATCGTTGCACAACAACGCCGCGGATTCAAATATTACTTCGGCAGAAACACAAAAGCTCCTCGACTCGTATTCCAAAGTGTCCAATGCAAACACAGTACAGCTCGAGAACATTACAAAACAGTTGCAGCATGTTCCCGGTGAGCCTTGGTCTCAAGCTTCGTCGATGCGAGAACCAACGGTTCCCTCTCAGCGGGCCTCCGCTAACCCTTTCAACCTATCGCGACAAGCAGAGCATCCAGCGGTCGCAGCTGCTGCCAGCATGAATGCTGGAAGCTTAATCGGTTCACCTCTCAAAACAGGAGAGGGGTTGGCTTTTGTCAGACTGGGTCGCCTTTCACCACACATGTCTGTCAAGGATAACAAACCTTCGCTTGAAATTCGAGTGGCACCCGAGGAATCAACATCTTCTTGTTCGGCCGCGGAGACAAGTCAATCCATGGCGACACCTGTGCCGTCTTCGCAAGAGCCTGTCACAATCCATAATCGTCTCAGTATGAAACGGAAGGCAGGAGGGAACGGCTGGACGGTTCCTCCTCGAGTGTTGCTGGTCGACGACGACTCTGTCTACCGAGATCTGAGCGGGAAGCTATTGCAAGTTATTGGCTGTACTATCGACCTAGCAAAGGACGGCATGGAGGCAATACGCATGATGGGCATGGAAAAATATGATCTTATTCTGATGGTGAGAGCACCTTTTGTTCTTCGCTTTGATTCTCAGTTCTAACTGTTCTCTAATTGCTTTGTAGGATATTGTCATGCCTAACCTTGATGGTATATCTGCCACACGCAACATTCGACAATACGATATGCTGACACCGATCATATCCATGACATCCAATTTCACCGACAACGATATTGTGCAATACGTTGGAAGTGGAATGAATGACATTTTACCCAAACCATTCTCGAAGCGCACGCTTTACGGCATACTCGAAAAATACTGTGCCCATCTGAAGGTTATTCAGCAATTTCAGGATCCAACAACAATTCATCGAGGTTTAGGCCTGTTACCACCGTCCACACAAGATGGCAGCAGTGGCAGCAGCAGTAGTTGTAATAGCCCCAACAGCAGTGCCAATGGCATCACTACTGGCGCCTTTATTGAAGAAATTACTCCACAGCCCACTGCGGTATCATCAACAGCCAGCGTTCCACAAGTTCCTACACAGCAGCAAATTCCATCATCGTCATCTTCACCATCACCTTCTTCACATCCTGTTGCTACCACTGGCATCAGTGCTGCTCCAATGCCGTATTCCGCTGCCATGAATCCCACGGTACCTGGAATGCATCCCAACAGTCTTAATCCATCCTATCAGCATCATCATCCATTAGCAACTCCCTTGGTTCCTACAAACAGTGTTTCCATGAATGCTGCTGCAACGACGACTACAGTTTGGTCACAGCAACAGCCGTCATCAACACAGCCACCAATGTCAGCAGTACCGGCGCAAGCTCAAACGATGATTCCTTCGAATGATGTCAAGTTTACTTGGATCCCACCAAATTCTTCTTCAGAGACGCAGGCGCCTCAAATTGAATTTGCTGTTGCTGGTAATAATGCAGCCAAGCGAAGGAGGGTAAACGAAGCACAGTAAACACCCTAGCACAAATTTGTTCTGTTGTATATATGTATGTATCCCCACCCCCCACATTGTCCACCTCAATTTATATATCTGTCTCTTTTCTCTCTCTCTCTCTCTCTCTCTCTCTCTCTCTCTATATGCACATATACTTCTAAGCAATTGACATCCCCCGCCATTGACCAGCATTTACTTGTATACATAAAAAGTTTGTTTGCTTTCTTTTTTCTATCACGGGCATAAATGTTATGTACTACTGGTCTTTCGTATATACAAATGAGTTTGTTTTTTCACAACGATGATGAATTATACACATCTCGCAGTATTGGTCTGTTCTTAAGAATTGCTTCAGCAGGAGAATGTGTTTTGTGTTCTCTATTTCGCTTTTCACGAGGAGATGGTGGTGGTTGGATTGTATGCTCGTTTTCTGCCCCGAGATGAAGTTGATAGATCTAAGAAGATAGCAACGTTAACGAAACTAGCACTTTTTCCTTCCACCAAGAATAGCAATCATATCAAAGTACGAACCCAGTTATTTGTACGCATTAATTCAAGGAAAATGCCGAATAGAGCCGTAGTGCTGAGCGTGGTGGATGATCCAATGATGATAATTTTGCTTTTAGCTCGAGTGAATGCAACGTTAATGCGACGCCAATCTCTCAACAACTCGCCGGTCTAGTTAGACATATGTTTGTTTTGTAAGTAAGTTTTGTGGAGACTTTCATGCTATCGCCACTGACTGTAAATATTACCTTGCCCGTTTCATTGCTTCTCACTAGAGACACTAGCACACACTCTTTATCTCGGCCTTGGTATTTATCAATCGTTGCAATTTCCACGCCTGGACGGCCACGTAACGACTGAGATATCAGCCTTAATTGGGAGCGATAAACGGAAATGACTGCCAGTCGCTCTTCTGGTACGCCTGCTAAAAGCAATGCTTCTGCTAACTGAAGCACAATCGAGGCTTCTGCCTTGTTGACCACAGTTTCCATAATGCGTTCCTCGGTTGCAGACATTTTATCGGTATCCAGAAATACAACCTTTCGACTAAGTTATCCTGTGTTATTAAACCTGCTGTCTTGTTTTTTTTCTTCCTAAACAAAATTTTGTTACTTACCTAGGATCCAAGATTTGCTCGATCCAGCATGATTGTTTCGTACAACTTGCACCACCATGGATACTATCGAGAGCTTGTTGAAAGTGTGGCAAGTCAAGTTGTCGTTGGGCTACAGACTTGCTTGCGCATTTGAGTTTGTTGTCGTAAATAAGGGTATTTGAGATGGTCATAATGTCTTTGTTCATGCGATATTGATATTGTAAAGTGACGATCGCCTCGGGATGTGCTTCAGCTAGGAGTGCAAAGAGAGATTTTTGCAGTCCGTTTTCGCGTGCCATATCGTGGCGTACCTAATTTAAGAGTTGTAAGCATTGCATAAAGAGAGAGAGGGAGGGAAAATTAAGATTAAATAGCGAAAGAGAAAATTGTACCAAAGGTGGAAGTTGGTATTGGTCCCCAACGAGAACAAAAACATTAGCACATCGCAAGGGACCGATACAGGCAGGTAGCGTGATCTGAGAGGCTTCGTCGACAATGCAATAGTCAAACTTTCGGTTCTGAAGAAGATTGCTAGAATACGATGGTATACGTTATATGAGGTTTTGAGATTTTATATAATTCTCCAACAATTGCATAATAGCACTTACTGTCCAATGCCTAGACATGTAACACCAACCACGCTCTTACTGTTGTAGAATTGTTCGAGGTTCGCTACCGTCGTCAGTGTCGGATTATTGTTGGGCATTGAGCTGCGCAGTGCTGGCATAACCTACACACGGAAACAGTATACATATTTAGCCGTATAATCGGCCATCTGGACTGCTATAGATATTCGCATACCTTTTCAGGATTGCCAAGACGAAGCACATCAATCCCACTGTCTAAGACTTTGACTAGTACATTATCGAGTGCAGTGTGTGTGTACGCTGTCAAAAGCACAGACTTGTTGCGTTCGACCAATGTCTTGATAATATGTGCTGTCGTTGTCGTTTTTCCTGTTCCAGGCATACCGAGAATAATGGCATAGTCCTTGGCTATATATTTTTTATATATTTCAGTAAGTATACGGGGGTGTTGGCATCCAAAGAGAGAGTGCGTGCTTTACCTGATAAGACTTTTTCAACCGCTTCTTGCTGGGCAGGATTAAGTGTTGGTGGCATCTTTATAGCCGGCACAGTTACAAAGCTAGGTTTGACACGATCCACAATCAATCGCCTCCGCTTCACATCGCCACCATCTTCTTCGCGCGCAAATAAGTTGACGATATTACGTCTCATCAAAGTCATGCCGGAAGCCATTTCGTCCTTATCAATCCGGTACGTCGTGGTCTCGCCGTTGTTGATGTAAACTTGATTGAGTTCTTCATCGAAACCGGGTCCTCTTTGTGGCGTACGTCGAAGCGGAGAGGTCAGGCTGATCTGAACTGAATTCTGATCGATGCGTAGCACAAAGCCCATGCCCAAATTGATGTGTCCTTGCGTGCTGGAGATAACAATAGGATCACCAACGTTGATCAAAGATGTCAGCATATTGAGATCCTGTTTCGATTCTGGGTGACGACGGAAACTGACAACGGTTTCTGAAGTTCCGGCATAGGAAGGATCGAAAACCATATTATTCCAGCATCTAAAGCATTTTTCGTTATATCAATTAAAATGCTGTATACACATGTCTCGTTTTCTTCTTATTATCTATATCATTTATACTTACCGTCCACTCAACTCCCGTAAATCAGCTGGTAATCGCCATATATCACGACGGATATAATCGATATCGTCTTCTTCGTAATCGATTAATTGCTGCCAGTGACGAAACATGGCTGTTGCTGCATCATTCAAATGGTTCGTTTTCATATCGAACCATCCTGCGAGCCCGCTAGACGCACCATCTCCATTTTCAACTGATTTGTGAAACAGTAAGCACGCATCATTCACCGGACAATGCTGGCAGTTATGCAGATTTTTTACCATAGCAGGCAAAGCATGTCGGTTTTGCATAGCTGATGCTAGTCGATTGCGTGCAATTACAAGATTCCGAACGTCGCTGCGGATTGCTTCAATCATGTAAAGACTGTTGGTGCGACAATATAGCAGGGCACCGGCATTTATATCGATACCTACAAGGATTGGTCGATTGTTTAATTTTACTCGAAAACTCAGATTTGTATATTATGCATACCATAGCGATCGCCCATTAGAAGAGTATATAGCATCGTTTGCGCACGATGTGAGATAAACCGATTCGTTTTTCCAGTTTTCAGTTCAAGAGGCACGATCAAGGTTTTCTCGCTTGGTCGCATTGCTAATTCGATTGAAACGTCTACCATTCCCTTCAAGCCGTAGGTTGGGCTCCACAAATGTTCCTCCACATCAAGTATTCTGGAAATGGCAACGTTTTTGCACCCAAGCCTAGTCGACACGTCAGGACCTATATCGGTTGCAATGGTAGCTTTTGCGTTTGGCTGCGGTCCAACATAGATTTCGCCAAATGCTTTGATATACTGGATCGCCTTTTCCATTAAAATATTCATTGTTGTAGTCTCATTTTGTCCGATCGCCAAAAGCTCTTCCAAGGATGAGCCCACAACGCGCTGTGTTTCTTTCATAAGCCCTTCGAGGCTGAAGTCGTTGGATTGCAATGCGTTTTGGACGATGCGATGGATAAGGTTTCCGTGAACGAGCGCTTCGCTGTAATCACCTAGTGATTTCACTTTTTGTTGAAGCACGGATTTACGTAAGCAGAAGAAACTTTCGGCAATGGCAGTGCTGGAGATAAGACGGTCTGGATGGACGATGAGGTAACCATGGGCATTATCGATAATCACGTCGTTGCAGGTCTGTTTGTCGGCTGAAATTGGTATATGTACAATGTAACCTGGTGTTGTACATAATTAGCCTTTTTATATTTTTTATCAACTGTGCTATCAGTAAAAACAGATCGATGATTACCAACTTCGACATGCGTTTGAATCCAATCTTCACGTAACCGCGCGCGTTTGGGAAAATCATTCGTTTCATCAAGTAGCGTGACAACCTATGAAGCATATAGCAACGAGTCAATTTGTTTCCTTGAAATAAAGAAAGTTGATTCACGAAATATACCTTCTCTGCTAATACTCCTTGATCGCCATTTAAGTATTTATCCTTTTTAACGTCGGCAACCATGTAGCGATTATAGCGCATGTTTGGAGGTTTCAGCTGTATCACATTCAAAGAGAGTCAGCAATTTATCGGTTTCCGTAATTTTGCTTCTATGAAGTATACACGCACCTGCTCTTGCGATGTGGTATCTTGAGCATGTTTAGTGTTGCTTGGTTCCGCGTTGCTTGGTAACGGTTCGTCTAGTAGATCCAGGGGTATATCATCACCGAACATATCGTCATCATCATCAAGATCCGCATTTGGTGCTATTGTCGATGCTGATGCTGATATTTCTGCTGTTGGTTTAAACGCTACTGGCGATGCTGATGGGGAGTGCGTGGCTGTTGTCGCTAATGGTTGTGGCTCATGGTTTTCTTTCTGCCCAAACCCCAGCATATCTTCAATATCGTCAAGAGGTATCTCTTCCCCAAACATAGAGTCACTATCAAAGGACCTCAACGGATCCTCTTTTGATTTTTGACTAATGTTGTTGCATGTAGCAGTGGGATTGCTGGTGTCGATGTCTGGAACGCTCGAATATTGCGCCTCTTGTAGCGCACGACCTCCTTTGGTTATCTGCTGACGTTCCTGGTTTAACTTTTGTTGAAACCGCTGCTGTATATCTCGAGGCTTTACTTTGCCATCTCGAAGCAAATCGCCTGTAGGACTAGACAAATCACAAATTATTGCAAAGGGGAAATTAACTTCTTGCTAATCAAAAGTGTGCAGGAATAAAGCCAGAGTTACTCGTACCTGTCTGGTAGAGGATTTGTAGCATTATTCAATTGATTAAAACATTCGCCAGTGTTTGCTTTTATGTAAATATAAAAAAGAACGTCTTAGTGATTCCTAGTATTTACAATTGAGTAGGAATGCTTATTACTTTTTTGTTTCTTATTAAATCTGGCAGTTGGTGACTTATAGGCATCATTGTTGCTAGATTTGCGAAACATGGTTGCCAACGCAGTGGTCTACAACGCTGTGGCACACCGAAAGAAAAGAAAGGAGGACGAGAGTTATGCACACGAGAAACGCGTTACACGCGCTTGAGCGTGCAATTTTTAACGGAAATCTCAGCGAGTGAACCTGGTTTCGAATGCCAAATTGTATACAGGTTCATTAAAAGAGCGTAAACATGGCTGTAACCTGGTTACTTTCTTTTATGATCACTTCACAGCCAATATAAACCAGTAGTAGTAGCTTATTTATTTTTCAAGCGCGCACTGACGGTAGGGTACAATGATAAGCATGGACCATCTACATAAAAGTACCATTTGTCACGGGTGAAGCTGGCGGTGAAGGAGCACTAGCTGCTTTAGTTACTTCCTTGTCGTCGGAATTGCTGTTACTGTCATCATTGATTTTCGCGTTGAGTATATCCAACAGCTTTCTAAGTGATTGCCCCATATTTGTGTCCGAATTGACTTCTTCGATTAGCTTGTGTACATCCTCGTCTTTGCTGATCCCTAGAAGCTCTCGCGCAGCAGAACCATTCTCTTCCTCCTCCAGTTGGTCCTCCTTCGTCGATTCTTTACTGCGTTCTTCTTGCTCTTTCTTCAGTTTAGCTGTGTCTTCTCTGATCTTGTCCTCAGCGCTCGTTTCAGTCTGGATTTTGTGAAGCAATCGTTGTACATGATCATAGTCCGTCAATAAAGCGAGGTCAATTTTGAAGTCATCCATCTGCTGCTCGTCATTATCATCAATGCTGTCAGTCGTCTTTCTGTCATTGCTGTAGTCGCTGCTATTTTCGTTATGTTTTTCCTTGACGCTCAACTCCTTTGTTGCGGTTAGAACTGTAGTATTCTGATGCGATAGTTTGGACTCTTTTCGTTTTTCCCAATGTTGAACCTCTTGCTCTTTTTCGTACTCGAGAAAGAACTTTTGCAAGGTGGCCGTAGTCATTTGAGAATTGAAGCTGCGGACATGGGACAGGAATACTTGCGCCACCCGTTTCAGTTCAGGATTGCTCACGCGGGTTGTGGGATCTATCGTTTGCTCGCCCTCTCCAAAGAATCGCCACAGCATTTCCTCCACTTGATAGTCATCGGCATATGTTAGATAATATATCTGATCCACTCTTCCGGGGCGCTTTACCGCGTCGCTAATTTTGTTAATGTCGTTGCATGTCATGAACACGACTGTTATTGAAATATTTCCCCCAACCCCGCTGTTAGTATATTTTGCATCATTGAGTAAGAAGATATCATAACTTACGAGTGCCCTCGGGAGTATTAATTCCATCCAATGCGTTCAAAAGGCCAGCTAGGTATATCGTTTGATAGTGAGTATCTTGCAGCAACAACTGGATGGCAATGGTAACGAATAAAATCAATATGCTAGTGTTATTAGTATCGAACCTTCTGTGATTCTCGTCATAACAGCATTACCACCATTGCGATCAGACTCTTTTGAATCTTTGGTAATATGGGAGCGGTCAAAGTCTTCCATGACAATCAGTGAGTTAGCTGGCACTCTGGCAAGCATCGCGAGAAATCCATCGTCATCCAGGTTGGTTGCAAGGCTTATATAAGCTATGTTCAACCGTAACTTTTCGGATAGGCCTTTAATGAAAGAGGTTTTGCCTATTAAACATACAGAATTTCAAAATAGTTTTGCGTTAACGAACATTTGCTACTTTGTTAGTGTCGCTTACTGCTAAAAAGTATTGAAATAAAGCTGGTGCATCAATTACCTGTGCCAGGAGGTCCATGAAGGATGATTGCATGCCGATAAGGAATTCCACGCATAGCGTACTTTTTGTGTGCTCCAAGAAACTTTCTGACATCTAGGCCAGTTAAAAGCTGCTGGTTTTAGATAGTTGAATATACAAAATATCAATAGAACGAAGAATTGATGTACCTGCCAAAATTTCTTCTTTCTGTCCTTCACGAAGCACAACCGAATCATACTTTCGCATCTAGATATGTTATGTATTAGTAAGTGAGTACCATCAATGCACACCGCCACGCGCTGGAAGCGCTAAAATACCTCTTTGTTGCTAATCCGCTTCCACATGTACTCGCTATGTGTCCTCATACATTGGTACACCGTCAGCTGTTAGAAAAGATAAATCATTTTGTAAGCGCTTTTGAATTATACGTATACTGACCAATTGCAGAGAATAGCCAATAAGCCTACCTTATTGTAATCCTGGTTATAAATGCTGTCAATCCACTCTTGTACTATGGATTTAAGCTCTTCAACGTCTCTCCCACGCATGCTAGATTATAAGTATATATGGTGCTCAGATACGGATTCATGACATTGGCTCCGATACACTTAACTAAGCAGAAGCCATACCTTATGTCTAAGACCTCTTGGTTCCGTTGCAACAATGAAGATATATCGTTAAGAGTAATAGTGCCCAGCCCACTTGCAGAAGCATCTTCAGCCCGCACTTTCCGCCGAGTAACAAAGATCTTCCGTCCCTTATGCCATACAATTTGCTTTGTGCCAGATGCTTCATATTATTATTAATGGTTTCGATGCGGATTACGGTCGGTGACAGTATACCAAGAGCACGCATTCGTGTATTTTTGTTGTGGATTGATCAGTCATTAAGATTTTGTTAATATCATCGTATAGTACCCCGTTTTCTCTTACCGTCTCCAACCGTGGACTACTTCATCAAATCATAGCCGCATCATAACACTTACTGGGTATTACTGAAATTCGAGGTCGAGGAATAGGCACCTCTTCATCCAAGTAATGGAAGAACGAGCGAGACTCCTCATTGTTTTTCGCGATGCCTTGAACATGCGTCAGCTTTTTGTCACGAGAAGCTTCTTGTTGTTGTGTAACGTATTGTCCTATTTGGTAAAAGATTGGTTCTTCTTGACTGATTTGGATAGAAACGTAAAATATCTCGTGAATGTAATCGCGGATTCCGGGATATATCCATCGAGTGATAGTCGGGATGATGCGCGCTTTATTTTAAACGTCAGGAGCCATAAGAGACATCGAGTAAAGGTTAAACTTTAGTTTGAGTGCCTTTCCTCTTCTTTTTCACTCTTTTCGCTCTGCTTATTTTGATAAGAAGGAAGAACAAAAGTGTACGTACGCAATACAGTCAACACTAGCATAGTTACCAGCGTATTCATAAAGGGTGCGTACCACGCTGCGGCGGTTCGTGCAGGGACTCCACCGATGGTATCTGTAGTCGAGCCAGAAAATGCCGATGGATGCTGAGAACCTGTCAGCATGCTGGTGCTGGCGAGAGCAAAAAATTCTCCAACGAATGGTATTCCTTGTAAAAGATAATCCATAAAGGGTGTTTTATGGAAAGGAAAAAGGAGTGCCAAGCTAAAAATTTTCAGACCTGGCTTTTATATCTACTCCCAACGCATAACATGAAGAGGCTCGGCTCGGTGCTCACCATACTGCGGTAGCATCGTCACCATCATAGATGACGATAGCGCGCCACCTTTCTCACCAGAAGTGGCAACCATCACAATACATATTGTTTATAGCTGTGTTCCATTTTCCACATTGTTTATGACTTGGGAACATGATCTATTTGCATGATGACGATGATGTTTACTTGTATGCCCTTCTTTATACCAAAAGGACGACGACCTTTATTATATCTGCATGAACGGCAATTTTTTGGCACAGATGCGCGGCACAGTTACACAAAATACCACAGCCAGTTCCCGATGACCCATTTGGATATATGTGTATTTCTTGATGCAAAATATAAAGTAGTGCCAAATTGGGACCAAGTATAAATTCTTTTAGTTGGGCAACTATAGAACAGAAAATTGTAGTAGTAAGTGGCGCGCCCTGAACATGTTCGATCCTCTGATCCTTCCTTCTTCCTACATACCTACTATTTACATTACCTCATTACAGGTGCCGAAAGTTCTTTAAGACACTTGTTTATGTTTTGGATGAGGGTGCAGGAAGAGATAAGCTAGCCAAATTAGTCTCATTGATGATGATCAGACGACACATACATGAGCGATGTCGGTGCTGTTACCTTATTTATTCATAACTGTTGCAAATAGCATGATTTGACATGACGAATACGATTTGCTTCACAAAGCTGCTTCGGTTCTTCGAATCGGTGGCGCTTACAGTTGCATAGTAGTCCCGTGGGCACTGGCAACAGAATAATGATAATGCATAGCATATAACTCCATGTAAGCGCCGTCTAGCGCCATTGGTTTTTAGCACTGAGTGCGTGTCAAGGTCCACCCTCATACTATACATTATCATGCTGCATACAGGAACCGGGGGTCGTACATCCACGCCAATGTTGAATTGGTTTGAAGATAACAGGCCTTCCCACACGTGTTAGTACTAATCTCACCATGCTACTTCCACATCTCAGTGTCAAGCGGCACTATTAGTGCGATAGTTAGCGTCATTTTTGTATAAGGAGAGCTATTAGAAGAATTGGCATTGTGGTATGTACAGTGCTTCCCGACTAATATCGTAAACTGTTTCATGATATGATAATACGCATTGAAGGCTTATCGACCGTTAAGCATTCGCACGATTTCTGCTCCTCTTCTGCCAAACTTGCACGTAAATATGGAAAATAGCTGTACCAAAACGTGATAGTCGGTGATCATCATCGCGTGGTGTGTAGCAGTAGTATAAAGATGTGTTCTTTGCGCTATCTTTCGGCCGCTATCATCAGACCATCCGATTATCGATAATGAGCACTGGGTACTGCAGTAGAACAAATGCTTATGAGTACATTGTCACGAGCAGAGATAATATGAAAGCAGCCAACTTCTCATGCGGTATAGAGAAGAATACCGAGGTCCTTCTTTTTTAAACTTCGCTGATATTTTAATGGCAGTAGTGATGATACTCTTGAAAAACACTATACAAAAAATAGAGTAAGCGAGCCCTCGTTATCGCCCCGTCATCTACTTTTTTTTCTCTAACCCTAATACAATATTAAGGGACCTGGATCTACACAAAATTTTTTAAATATGAATAGGTGCTATATCAGCATATTCTTTTCTTCAGAATAGGAAAGGTGCCAGACCAAGCGTTTACCATTTAAAAGTAAAAATTAGAATAAAAGATGCTATATGAAAGAGCAAAAATTCTCGTAGGGTAGAAATAAACACCATGTCAATCGTCTTGGAGCAAATTCGAGCAACAAGCATGAATAGGCTACACATATTTCCTTTTATCAACGATATTTAAACAATTTCTCATTAATGATCACTGTTTCTCTAAGCACAGGGACATGGGCCTGAAGCAAGTGGTAGTTCCCCAGTCCAGACAGCAACTAAGTGTTAACTCCTTTGTTAGCTCATTACTCCCTGAGAATCTGATCCTCCCTTATTGCTCTGGAAATACACTCGGAACCAGCAAAATAATGAGTCTGGCCTACCGAACTCACTCTTTTTCTCTTTCTCTTTCTTCTCTCTCTTACAGCAGTAGCGCTAATATCGTTCGAGAGCAACAAGGAAATCACCAGGAATTTCGTAGATCGCAACAACGCCGAATTCACCATAATGATAAAAGGGATCAAGGGTGTGGTAAGTTTATTTTTCTCTTACTTTTTTGACAGCTTTTGCGGGCTTGGGTACATTAAGCTCATTCTGCTGAACGACTTTGGCGTATAGCTCTCTAGAAACAGAGCTGTAACGCATTACGATGCCAAATCACAAGATCAACGATCTTCTTCCATTGCTGATGATTTGTCAGTCAATGGCTCGACTGCTAATGTTACGACGACTTTAAACACGCAGTACTACGGTGTGAGTCACGCTTTCCGTGCCTTTTTTACATTATCTATTTTAACGCTCTGCATTAATGCAAACTCTACTGCAGCCGCCGGAAGGTTTGGTGCAACCACCATCGGCAATCGGAGACGGCGGTGACACCAGTAAAGACACCTCAGCAACAGCAGCAATGATCCCGCCGATGATGTGCCGAAACAATACACCAAAAGACACAATCACTGTCCAGAAAGCACCACGACGACAGAAGTCTTCTCGGTTTTACGTCTATCAAAACGTCGAGCTCGAAATGTACCCCAACTTTCATGGTCAGTGAGGGAGACATAAAAAAATGATAGAAAACATGCACTGTGTTGCCTTGCTGATTTGTTGTTTGATCGCCTATATGTTTCCTCATAAAGAGGTTCCGCCAGCTCAGCGATACGAGCTGCTCGTCAGAAAGTTGGCTCAGTGCCAGATTCTATTCGATTTCAACGATGCATCATCGGATCTGAAGAACAAGGAAATCAAGCGCTGTGCGCTACAAGAGATTCTGGAATATATTTCAACCACAAGGGGTACCATCATCGATACGATATACGTCGACATCGTTCGCATGGTAGGTGTAATATTACTACGAGACAGGATACTATGCTTCATCGAGATGCGATTACTAAAGGTAAAAGGTTACAGTTTGCCATCAATCTCTTTAGAACCATACCGCCACCACAGATAGCCCCTGGCGCTGAAGGCTTCGACCTGGAAGCGGATGAACCTGCATTCGAAACCGCTTGGCCACACATCCGACTAGTATACGAGATTTTCTTACGGTTCCTCGAGTCCCCGGATTTCAATACCCATGCTGCCAAAAAGCTTATTGATCAGAAGTTTGTTATCCAGGTAATATCATTCATTTATTATTTTTGTAAAGTCAAAGATAAAACATAAAATGTGATGTCTAATATAAAGCGCGTGAATTACTTAGCTTTTAGAGCTCTTTGACAGTGAGGACCCGCGTGAGCGAGATTTTCTCAAGACGATACTACATCGCGTATATGGGAAATTCCTCAACCTCAGGGCATTTATTAGACGATCCATCAACCACATTTTCTTCCAATATATCTACGAGACGGAACGATTTAACGGAATTGCCGAGTTTCTCGAGATCTTGGGAAGGTGCGTATCCTTGATTGGCGTTATGTTACTTTTGGCTACCATGTGCTCATTTTAGATTTTACAATCACAAATTCTGTAGTATCATCAACGGCTTCGCTCTGCCTTTAAAGGAAGAGCACAAAACATTCTTGTCGCGGGTGCTGATTCCACTACACAAACCAGCCGGCCTTGCCATGTATCATCCCCAATTGGATTACTGCGTTGTTCAGTTTCTGGAAAAAGACCCCTCATTAACTGCCGAGGTAAGCGCATATTCTACGATCTGTGATTATTTTTTGAAGGGTAAGAATCCCATCTGAGCTTTGCAACTATGCATAGGTTGTTCATGGTATTCTACGCTACTGGCCCAAGATCAACAGTGCCAAAGAGGTTATATTCCTCAATGAACTGGAAAACATTCTAGATGTGACAGACTCAGTGGAACTATCAAAGGTGTTGGAGCCTTTATTCCAGCGATTGGCTCAATGCGTAGCTAGCACGCATTTCCAGGTGCATTTTTTTTATTCTTCAATATGAACGACCATCATCAAATAATAGTTTGCTTATATTAATATCATTGTTTATTAGGTTGCAGAGCGGGCTCTGTACTACTGGAGCAACGACTATATCGTATCACTGATTAACAATAACATTGAAATTATTATGCCCATCTTATTTCCATCGTTATATAATCACGCAAAAACACACTGGAACAGGTATAGCCGATCAATATACAATTGTCCAAAATATTATACGAAAGCTAAAATTACATTTTGATTCAAAGGACTATTCAAGGATTGGTTTATACAGCCTTGAAGATGTTCATGGCGGCAGATCCAGTACTATTTGACGAATGCGCTCGCAAGTTTAGAGAAGATGAAGAAGAAGAGTAAGTACATATGATTCTACAGGATGTATTTTGTTTTGGAGTAGTTTCTCTAATCATGATGCAGGTTGAGGCGTAATAGATATCGTGAGGATGTATGGAGAAGATTACAAGAGCAGGCATCGTCGGCCCCACTAATTACTGCAGCAGGCACTAGTAATATCTGCTGAGCATTGACATATTATACAATTGTTGCCCAAAAAAATATATGGCAACTTCAACTATTATTCTGGATTACATACTTTAATACCTTTATTTCTACTGTGTGTTCTTTTCTAATGCAGCCATGCGGGCTGCTTTGAATCTGGAAACTTTCTTCGGCTTTACTTCTACCTCTTCTTTAACCTTTTTAGTAGCACTGGATTCATTTGTGGGTAGATCTTCGTCGTATACCTAAAATCGACATGTGAGATACCGCTACAGAGACATGGACCTGTTTAAATCTTACCTCATAAACTTCCTTTGGCTCAAATGTATATCCACCCATCGCTGCAACGATGCTGTTGCGCTGGCTATGGTATTTGCTCGTCACCTGAATAGATAAAAAAGTACGATCATCAATCCCTCCCCTCTTTCCATGCTGTGTATATAAAGTAACTAGAAAGGACTTACTTCACGTAAATCCATATCTTGTTCCACCTGATCGGGATCAACATCCTCTATATCTCGTTCCATCACGGCACCTCTCATCACATTGGAGTCGAGCTTAGTTTTTCTTGCTTGCGGAATAGTCTGCACTTCAGATGGAGTAATAGGCATAATCAAAGGATTTGAGGGCTCATCTCGTAGCTGCCAAAGTTCCTGCGTTTTAAAATCCGCGTCCTTAGAAAGTAATCCAATATCCAGGTTAGTAGGACCGATATCGTCTTCGCCTGTTTCCAGCGCAGGATAGCCATCATCCAGTAAGACTTGTCGCTGGTCTTTTAGAGCGCTGAATATATCCGCCGGGGAATTGATCGTACGCTGCTGTAACGGTACTGTTCTGTCGACTTTATGCTCTTCCTTGATGGGTGCTGTATACGATGGCGATGATAAGTCAGAAGATACTGTCGAAGGTGCTGCAGAGCGATCATGTTCCTGCACGGTTGCCACTGCATCCCATGTCACCTTGCGTTTCGGTTTTGCATCGTCTGTGCTTTTTTCCTCTTTGGGGTCTTCCTTTCGTTTTCGGGTATCTTGCACGGCTGGGATTGATTTGACCACAACACCCGCGTCATACCCAGCATCAGGCGCTCTTGTCCGTCCCTGTTGCCGGGTAAGTTTGAATCTGGATGGCTTTTGTTCCTTGACTACAGGTGGTGCCGAGTTTTGATCTGATGACGACGGCGAGCTTTCAGTAACAGCGGACTTGGAGGCAGTTACATTTCTCTCTTGCTCACGAGCAAGCTTAAATCTCGACTGCTTCTTTTTCTCCTTTAATTTTTCTTCAGCAGGTACGCTTTTGCTTTGTATTGGTGACGACTCCTGAACAGCAGGAATGCCCTGGTGTTCTTGCTGCTCAGTAACAGTTGATCCAGTTGGATGTTTAGACTCATTTTCTGATGTTTCTTGTACGACGGGTATCTCTTTAGTGACCTGGTCCTTTTCCACATCTGATTGACGGCTTGCCGCTATGTTTCGGGCAATTGTTTCTGCAGTTCGTTCTTTTTGTCGAGCGACTTTGAATCGAGATGGCTTTTTTGCTTTTGCGGATGGAGGAGGAGACGTGGCATCAGCTGAGACGGCAGCATTGTTTTCTACAATTCCATCTGTTGGTGGATCGGTCGATGTATCCTTCTTTTCAGCAACACTGTCTTGCAATGGCGAAGGTTCGACAGTTGGTTCATCTTCTTTGGTTGCTTCCATTACATTTGGTGGTTCTTCTTGCTGCGCATTATCTTGGCCTTCGTCTTCGTCGTCGTAAACAGATGCGTCAACTTGTTCGATAATGCCCTGCGTAGCATAATCCTCGTCATCGTCGTAACTACTGAAGAGGTTATCCGTAATTTCTGTATCGTAACGGTCATCCCAATCATCGTCATCATCAACATCATCTTCGTCGTCGTCGTCGCCGTCCCGATGTTTCTTTCCGTTGTCTTGTGTCGATTCACTCTGTTGCTGTCCCCGCAATTCCTCCTCCTCCTCTTCCTCTTCTGCTTCTAGCCGCTGTAGCATATCCATCACATCCTTTTGTTCTTTTTCGGACCATACTTCGCTTTTTGGGTTTACTGGTTCAACATTGGCCCTTCCTTTTCCTTTTGAATCCTTCTTCTGTTCCTTAAGATCTTCTTTGACAGCACTTTCGGCCTTTTCCTTCGGAAGCTCTTCTTCTCGAATTTCGACAATAGGAAGCCCCTCTTCGTTGACCTGTTTTATTCCAAAGTAAAGGAAAAGGTCAATAAACTGTAGCTTACTGTATGAAAGAGATACCTTAATAACATACGCCAAGATCGTCAGATGGAAGCGCTCCCTGACCCGCTTCGCTTTTAGCTTGAAGTCCGTTGCGTTGTGCTTCTAATAGTCGAACATTCTCTTCCACCACTACCGATATCGCATATCTTAAGCTTTAGCATGCCATTCTTTATACGTGCATACGACGTCAACGCGTTGATGCTCACCTTGCCTACGTCGATCGAGAACGCCGAGAGCTTGTTTTGCCGATCGCTCTGCATAATACTGATCACCAAGATAAACTGTAATTTCGTTCGTGTGTATCAACTTTCCAGGCATAAACGCGAGTTTACCAAATGGGATCTATGTAAGAAAACCATGAGCATGCGATTGTTAAAGAGTAAGTTTTGTTTCTTCAACACCTGCTTTGAAACCTTTCATAGCAACTAACCATTGCAGATCGGCTGGTTTCGTCCGGCAGAGTCCGCAGTGTTTTTTCGAGCGCGTCGTAATCATTTCGAAAGGTTTTGAGTCGATTTAGTTCTGCGTCTAGCAGTCCTTGTCGTTCATTTATACGTTGAGCCCACTGGCCTAGTTGTCCGGCCAGATCGGTCACCGCAGGGTTCATTGATCAGAGTGGGAAGTTATAAAGATTCTGAAAGAAAATAAATTTTTGTCTTATTTGACAAATGATTAAAAAGGCAGGAGCTTATACTGCAACTGTTAAATGTTGTCAACTGTAATACAGGAACTGTCGTTTTTACCATAAAATATGTATGTTATTTTCTGCTACTACTTGGTCATAAAGTGGTTAACTAAGTCTAGTAGACTATGTAGAGCTGCATTCAATATCTTCAATATCAGGAAAAGAGTCCTGCATGGGGGTTTTCTGCAGGGTTTTCTAGATTTTTACAATGTTCATGATATTAACGCATTGTCATTGGACGGATTTAATTTAAGCCGAACTTTTATCATCATGATAACAGAATATTTTATGCAACAGAGACTGACGGCTAGCCTACAAGTGCATATAAACATTGTGGTTTTTGATTATAGATTGTTATACTATTTCACTGACCGCTTGTTGAAATAAGCTGAACAGAACGGAACGAAACATAGTGACGATCGTATACAAACACGAAAGCTATCTTGATTATTATATAAATATGAGAAGAAACGAATTGTAGGTACTGTATTAAGCCTAAAAGTGAATATCATTATTATGACACTGGTAAACAGCACCCATTATACCTTGACTTCTTTAGCTGGCATGCAAGGTTCGTGATAAGTAAAGCTATATTGAAGTGCTCATATATGCAACTAGGACGCTGCGAAAAAACATGTTCTCTATGCAGGAAAGAGGGATGCCACCTCGGATCAAGGTGCTCACGGAGGAACAGAACAGAAATAGCTTAGAATAGATTGAGTCGTTTCAATTCCTATCGAGCTCAATTAGTCACGCATCTAGTATATTTATACCACTACTCTTGAATTGCATATTGTCAAGCATCATAATATGATGTTCGAAATATGTAGAGCATATCAGGTCTATCAAAACGAATATACACATGGATCACAAATTTCTAAACAAGTGGCTCAAGACACTTCGTTCAAATCATGATTGTTACTGATTATAATGATTGACTACAAAGCACATAGCATATTGCGGTGGCATCATCTACAACATCACAAAAAAAGAGATAGTATCGTATAAATGACGATTTCGATAAGTGAAATGTGTGCATAGCATAGGGTGAGGGAGGGAAACGGGACCTTGTGATTGGCTAATCAAGTGTCGCTCAACCAATTCGGCAGAGAGTGAGAACCGTTCCGACAAGGCGATTTCAAGGTTCCTCCTCCTTAATCGTTAACCTCATGGCTGAAACTCGGTAGGTGGATACAATTCAATACGAATATAACCTATATAGAAGCGACAATGAGATGGTGTGGGTGTGGATGATTAATGGATGGATGAACGAACGAACGGATGGATGGATGGACTTTTGAAAAGATACGAAACGATTGGAAAACGAAATGACAAATGAGGGTCGGAGGGGGTGGTTGTGGCATTTACACATAAACGATTTATTTAAGAGGAGGATAAAACGACATTATGAAAGACGATTATATTTACAAGTTGAATTATACTTTGTGTATAATTGTATATAGTCTTTACAGCAAGGGCCGCGTCCTCGGTTTCGAACGTGCTAAGCGTACCCAGAACCCCAACGTCTCGCTCATCAAGCTTGAGGGTGTTCAGACCACCAAGGATGCCCAGTTCTACCTTGGCAAGCGTATTGCCTATGTGTACCGTGCTAAGCGCGAGATTAACGGCTCCAAGATTCGTGTTATCTGGGGTCGCATTGCCCGTACCCACGGTACCAGCGGTGTCGTCAAGGCTCGTTTCCGCAAGAACTTGCCCGCCAAGACCATGGGTGCCTCCGTCCGCGTCGTAAGTTTGCTGCTGATCTCATTGGGCTGGTGTTCATTTACCGGAATAATGACAACAATGACTAATAATGATTATGCAACTTGTATAGATGCTCTATCCTTCCAACATCTAAGTGAATTTTTTCTAAATGTTCACTTGAAAAAATCCTTGTGGGGGAATAAAAGCTCGCATTACACACGATATCTTTTGTCAGCCAAAAAATCACAAACATTTTTTTTAGTCTTGATGAATAATGGAGAAGAGGAGGAGGAGGAGAAAGTATGAGAAAAGAAGGAATGAGTTTTTACTTATTGGTTGTACTACTGCATCAGGAGAAGTTCGAAGAGGAAGAGGAAAGAGATTGCGAGTATATGCACATTGTGAAGGGGAGATAGAGAGGGAAAGATATGAGCGCAAGGAGATAAAAGTGAAAAGGGAGATAGATGTATATTATAAAAGCTACTATACGTACATAACTACAATTGAATGTCACTAACAGTGTCATTGATACGATCCCGAAGCGCTTCGACCGCCGCAGCCTTTAGCTCCAAGATTTCATCTAGATCACGCAAGTAATCTCGAAACTGGCTGCTCCGGGTGATATCGTCATCGTCATAATCTGGATTGGACAGGAAGGTCGACATTTTACCTGCCAACTTTGTCTCTAGTTTGGTACATTCCGTCACTTCTCGTATCTGTGCTCGATGTACTTTGATCATACCCTCCATTTGTGAGCGGTCAAAGTGAAGATCGTCTTCAAGAGCGCTTGGGGATGGTGATTGTTGTTGCTCTTCGTTTATGCTAAAGCGGTTCAGTTGCTCGGTAAGATTTGGATAAGGATGTTGCTGTGGATTCCTGGTATAATAAGCAGCCTGTTGTTGCTGCTGCTGCTGTTGTTGTTGTTGGTACTGTTGTGTAGTATTGTAGGAAAAGCCCATTTGTAAAGGTTTTTGTTGTTGTTGCTGTTGAAGAGATGACGCAGAAGTTGATGGTAAGGTGGAAGACGAGTTGATAAAGGCATCTTGCTCGTGTGGGAAATCAACATCAAATATATTTTCACCATCGATATCGTCATCATTTAAGAAATCCGAATCGTTGCTATAAACATCATCGTCATCGTCATCATCGTCATCAAACGCATAATAATCATCGTCTTCGCCATCATCCTGTGTGCTACTGCTTGTCCGACTTATTTGATGGTGGTGGTTATTACTATGATGATTATGGCTATGGTGATGTGTTGATGTATCGATCATCCATGGTGCATCGTCCGGTCCATTTCGACTGTTAGTTTTCTCGAGCTGTGCTCGTCGATCTCGTTCTCCCTTGAGTTCCTTCACTCTGGCGATCCATGTAAATGTTAGCATAATCCAATCCACATTCCACGCTGAGTAGATTTAAACCAAAGTTTACCTATCGGCATAACGCAGTGTGTTCAAGGTATGCTCGCTGTTCGACCCTCCAGGTGAAATGGTTGCGATCATGCATGTACGAGAATTGCCGACAAAGGAATCTTTGAGGACCTGTTTTTATTAAACAAAATGTGATGAGCTAATAATATCCATGATAAAGCGAAGAGAAAAGTAAAGACCAACCTGAGTCAATTTGCTTTGTCTGAACGGAGTATGTCGTTTATCTTGATCCAGTGCACGGATACATTCTTTCAAGGCGAGTAAGCTCTTGTTAATTTCAGCGCCTTCCATCCTAGTCAAAAAAAAAGGTTGAAATGAACCGCCATCACCCGTCAAGTTAAAATCATATGATCCGTGTCTTCTCAAGTCAGCGAACATTACCTCGTTTTTGTATCTGATTCACCTCGATCAGCACCACGCTCAGAGCCGGCAAGATCAATAAAGCTCAATTTGCCATGTATAAGCTTTCTATTCTTTTTAGGTTTCAAAAGTATCTGTAAAACGGCATGCGATCTTGAAGAACTATCGTTTGCACCGGTCGATCCTATTGTGTTTTATACTGTTACTATCTTGTGACTCAAAGTTATATACAACATTTATCCCCTCGTTTCTCAAACACACAACTCCGCCGTTTTACCTGTACTACGAATTTGATTTCCATATGCAAAAATTTGAACGAGTTTATCAACATTGTCAATGGGAAATTCCTTGAGCCCGGATATAATGACATTTTGCTTTCCATCTTCTCGCGCAAACAATTTCTTGCGGTTGTTGAGCAGATCGTACAGCTGTCCTTGGTATATTTCATACAATCCAATCCATGCCGACAAGTGTTGGTTTTCGGGTGTACGCAATGCAGTAAAGATATCACGAGCTGCCATGACGTATAGACCATGACGCGGATCTAGCATAGTAAATGTTTTACCGGAACCTGTTTGACCACTATAATTTATTTTTTTACTGTTGAGTACATATACACATAATGCCTATGTCACATTAGTTATGAGGGAACGAGGAATCAACGATTACTTACTATGCAAAGCATGTTGCTTTTCCGCCTTGGAAGATGTATCGGACAAGCGGAAGTGCAGTCCGTTCGTATATAGAAGTATTTTTGGCATCAGCATCAAAAACATCATCAAATGTGAATTTGTGCTGATCGATGTACTTTGTCAGATCTAGCTTTAACCTACACATGTACCATCAATCACGGTCAGTATAGACGAAGAATAGATGGGAAAAAAGTTATGTCCACATCCTACTTTGGCTCATTTATCTGTAAGCTCCGAGTCCCAATCGCATTGATGATATCCTTTTCCGCACGTTCCAAATCCTTTCTGCTAAGTGGCCGCTTACGCACACACACACGGATTTTCTGATTCAGATCACTGGGTGGAAGATCGGACACTGACGATAGAGCTGTCGACTGGGATGCTGCAAATCTGAGTGCACCCATGCTGGCTCGCGCCTTCATTGCAGAAGGCGACATAGGGACGCCATAGGCATTCAAGAGAGGTGCAGAAGCGCGGTACCTTCGAGCACTGGTGTCGTCTTCATCCTCTTCATCATCCGAGGATGATTTGGACGACGATGGTGCCGTCGTTAACACCGATCTGCGAAGGTCTGTTCGGTTACTATGGTTGCTGTTGTTATTACGCGAAGCACGAGGTAGTCCTGTATGGCCAGCGTCCGACATGGTTCGACTACGCACGTGTCGTTCTGGTTTGGGTGTTGTTGACGGGCTTGGTTGCATGGAGATAATACTTTGACGCCTGAGCCGTGCATTGTTTTTACTGCTATATCGCTGGGTATGATCCTGTGCAGGCGAACTGGGTGGCTGTGGCAACCGGCTTGTATATGCGTTGCTAGGCGATATCGGATAATCGTTACTGCTGTTGCTATACATGCTGGTTGCCGTGGTGCTGGTAGTGCGCATGCTGGGATACGCTTGTGGTTTGCGCAGGCCACTTGTATTTGTTGCTGCCGTTGTAGTGAGCGTGGATGCAGAAGTCATGATTTTCAACGGTGGTGCCTCTTTCCGTAACATTTGGATCAAGCCAAAGATTTTACGTCGGTCAGTAATATCCGTGATGCCGAGTGCTGCATAGTCTTGTACTGACAGCTATGATGTGCCATGGAAATGGCATATATGTGAGTCTTCTCATAGACATCTTTTATGTTCAAAGCATACACGTATCCCCTCAACCCCTTTTCTTCCTCTCCCTCAAAGACCGTACACGCGCCGGGCGCGCATAAAGAATATTTTTTTCTATACCTGACACAGGTTTTGAAGTTGCGTGATGCCGTGAGTGGAAAATCTATTCCATAAAAGAAAAAAGCCTATGAATGTTTGCAATTTCTGACAAGCTTTGGAATATAATCGCCTAAAACTATTGCTTACGTCGGATAGAACTACATTAAGGGGGAAGAAATGACGATATAAGTAAAGATGAATGTCAAGAACAGTTTTGAGTCTGAAAGAAAATGACAATTTACATGGTCCAAGTCATGTTTACGCAATGTGTCCAAAAAGACAGAGGCACTCATCGCGTTGTTGTATACTGTCGTGTATCGCTTGAAAACTGGGCGAAGAAAGCGGGGTGGGGTATAGGGTTAAAAAAAAGTTGTGCGTTGAGTTTCCCTTGGGCTAAGCGAAGAAAGTAAGAAATAGACTGAGAAGCAGAAGGCGGATGTTGTTTCGTGGTTGTCTTTGTGCAACCGCAAAATATAATTATGAACTCCGTTCCCTTCTTTCTTTCTTTCCGTATATCATCGAGAATGTTTGTGTGTTTGTAGAGGGTTGGATTGGGGGGGGGGGGGGAGGCTATAGGAAACGACGTGTATGCAGCCACTGACAGCCTTTTTATTTTGATTTCATCATGTGGCCCATGCTACTTTGTTGTTGTTGTTGTTGTTGCTCCTTCACCTACCTGGGACCTTTCACATCACTTCCATTCGCGTTGTAATTTATACAAGTCACCTGCCCACTTCATACAACGCTTGTGTGTACTACAAGCAAGCCTGGACCTGATCCGCATTGATTCCGACTTCGGACCAACACAAAAAAAAAGGCAGACTCTGCAATAAGCGGTTAGATTTACGTACTAAGCTAATGCTCTGTTCCCAACTTTTGCTAGTACCACCCACACTTAATGTATCGAGAGTCTTCATCATTCATCCTCAACCTTTTTCCTTGCTGCCCAGTCAGGGTTGTTTTACAGCGACAAACCTTTTTCAGATCTTACGCAAGCAAGTATGTCCCTTAGGACGCAGTACTCGCGCTGTGCTTATTATGAAAAATGAAAACATTTTCGTCTACTATTGCTTATACCAATTTCACTTTCCTCGCTTTAATATGTATATGCACCTGCGTGATGTATTTTTATTATCATCATCATCCCACATCATTGGCATTCCATCATGTGTCCCTACTATATTGAATGGCTTTCGTACATAGTATCACTGACATTCTCATACTACGTACTTTTTTGGTCAGCGATTACGTCGATAAGAAAGGTTATTTCTTTGTTACCTTGATGGTGATGAATTACATGACACTGTACAACATAGCACCTCCCTGACGACAACAAAGAAATCGTAGCAACCATGATATCTATGGTAATTTACTTCAAGGAGAACATGGGGACAAAAAATCACAGTCCTTTGTTTTGTTTGCTAACGACGACACACATATTTTGGGTTCTCGAACATAATAGGGGTCGGGCAGCAATGATAGTGTTAGTAGCATAGCGCCCGATTATCATCGCCTACAATAGACTACGATGGGTGACTTTCAATTATATTTATTGCAATGTAGAAGCTGCATACTACTGTATAAAAAACTTTATTCTACCGAGAAATTATTATTGTTTAGCATGAATTTATTTGACTCCTGCATATCCTATATACTTAGCAGCTTATAAATGCATTCGTCTGTTCTTCGGAAGATAAGCCGTGGCGGGCTTGACCTTCTAAGGTGACCCAGCTAATCATCTGCTAAGAGCTAGAGCTAGCACTTATTGCAGGTTTGATAAAAGTAAGTGCACTTGGCATTTGTGTGTAGTCCACTTTCTCTTTTGCAGTAACAAATGTAAGACAGAGAAAATTATGTTTATTCATCATACTGTTTGTTACATTTCTTGCTGGTTTTACTTAACAATGATTCTTTAAGAGAGAGAGAGAGTGTGTGTATAATTTATAGATATTATACACACTCAGCGATCGAATCGAAGCAATTCTATTGGTTCACCTTGTTACCAAACTGAAAAGCGAGAACCATAAAGTAGGAAAAGTGAAAAAAAACATGGTTCTTCAACCTTTACTATTACCATCTCCACCCAACACTGCCGCACACAAAATGGCCACTACTACTGCACCGCCAACAGCACATGGGAATACGACAGCCATAACCAATACCGCAACAACAAATACTACGAATCACCATAAAAAGCATACCCGACATCATGTCAAGCGACGATCCACTGGCCGCGTCCATGTGACAAAACTAGCGCCCATGGCCAGAGCCAATGCTTCTGCTCACACCGACACTGAAGCCGACGAGTACGATCACACTGGCTCAACAAAACGACCTCACATGCGACGCTCTCAAAGTCAACGATCCCTAAATAGACTTTCTTCATTTGAGCGAAAAGGAGGAATGACCGCCATGGCTCCACTCCATCCTCCTCAACCTCAAAAGAACACAGCAATTAGTAATAGTGAGAACAATAATAGCACCATTACGGCTAATACGTCGACGATTTCACCACCGACCACACCTCCTTTGCAAGCAAAAGGCAAGCAACAACAACAACGGTCTTTGCCGCCGCCGTCGTCGGCCTCCTCCTCCTCCTCCTCTTCGTCGTCGTCCTCAGAAGAAGTGGAAGAAATGGAAATAAAGAAGCACCAGCAACGTTTGGAAAGAAATGTGGAAGAGGATCAAGAGATTGCTTGTCCAACACCGTCTGTTTCGTCACCTACTGTGCTTCGTAATGACTGCAGGAACAGCAACAAAAGCCTTTCAACCATTGCCAGCAAACCCTCCATTTTGTCACAACGGGGAACAGCCGCACCGATTGAGCAGACGTTCAATGCTGTCGCAAACAATCTGGTTGCACCTGATAAAGCTGCTTTGCCAGCGTTCCATAAACAAGCCACGTCACCGTCTAAATCACCGTCTTCACAATCCGATTCACATAAAACGAAGAAGCGTATGCCTCCATTACGCTCTCAATTCATCGACGAACATAGCCATCATCATAACAGCAACAACAGTCAGCAACAACAACAACATCCGGAGTCTGTCGCCGCTGATCCTCATCACTCTCAGCATAGCAACAGTTTGAAACGATCCAACATGGAAAAGTCGCCACGACAAAGCAATGTTGCATCAGCCGCTACTGCACAACCGCCCGGGATCTCACGTACGCAGCAAAAGCTTTTGTTACAACGACAGCACTGTCTTGTCGACGACGAGAACAACCTGGGACATCCGCGCAACATGTTGCGATTAACAAGGGAATTAGAGCGTGTGGGTCGAGAGTATCGATGTGTACGACGGTATCGAGATCCAATGCTGGAAAGTCTACAACGATGTGCATCGGCAGGGAATGTCCAGCAGCAAGAGCATAATCCCCATCCACGTCGTTTACAAGTCAACCATCGTACCCGCTCATTCTCTGTACTTCCGTCCTCTTCCAATGGTGCCTATGACCATCCCGACAATGACCATCCTATCCCTCATTCAGAACAACGACAAGCCATCCATCGTCGTCAACAACAACTCAAACTGCTTGCCATGGCCAATCATCACAGCAATGGTGGCAACAGCAATCACAGACATAGCTTGCACACGTATTCGTCTGGTGGTATGCATTCGTCATCGCACCAACAGCAACAGCAGTCCAACACGGCATTGGATATGATCCGTTGGAGTGCGGGTGCTCTTCTGGATCGTGTTTGGTATGGTGGCAATGGTTCTAGTTAAGCACTGCTGGGCAAATCCTCCAAGTAGTTGTGCCTCTTTTTATTTGAGATTGTTTGCGAGCTTCTCTTCATTCCCATGTTCCTTTTTTTTTATTTGATTTCCTGATTGTAAAGTAACTTTTTTTCTTGTTTCTTCCCCAACTTGCTTTTACTCTAATCTTATTATTATAGCAATATCTCAATCCTCCTTCTCCATCTCTCTGTGTCCGAGTGTTTCCATCATTTATCTATTCACCTACCTATCTATCTGTTTTTATATGTACTATCTTCTTGAGCCTTTTAAAAGGATCCTTTATTTTACCCAAAGTGTACAATGTTAAATTAAACGAAAGTGTACAATAGTTGACTGCTTGACTTGTTTGTTCACATCAACAGTGGCTCTTGCTGTTGTTACTTAATATGTAACTTACGCACACCTGCTCGATTATTGCGTTGGGTATCTCAGCAAAGACGATGTGTGGTTATTCCACTTGGCTCTGTATTATGCAGTGCATGTAAGTGAAAGTGCTTGTGGGTGGGGGAGTCTCTTGGTTAGCAGTATTAGATAAACCATCGGAAATAAAGGTGTATAGGCCCTCGTACGTGAGTTATGCGAAAGCTGAGCTGCGTTACAGCGGTAACACTAGCCAGCATACAGCTAAATTTACGATTAAAACAATTGCTTATGAGCCTTGTAAGGGAAAAGGTAAAAAGGAAAGCAGGAGCGTTTAGTGTGCAGTCACGCATGTATCACTGCAGCCTTTGTAGACGCGGTGATAACTCAATTTGGCAACCTCTCTTTCTATTCCCAACAACACGTCTCCTTCTTTATTTCTTCCAAATAAATCCCAAGAGGAAAAAAGGAATTAGGTGAATATATCATATAATGCGTTTTAAAAAGAAAAACTGTTTCTCTAGATACCGAGATTGTCGTATGTACTAATCCGTTGATATATTTGGACTCTAAAGGTTCTATCTTTTCGCATTAATCTCTTACATCAGCACCCTCTTTCCCTCCAATCGTAAGTGTATTCTTCACAGTAGGCTTCAATCGCTTTTCGTTTCGTTGCTTGGTTCCTTTTTATTTCGTTCCTTCTGTGGTGTTTTATACTTGATGCACAGGCAAAATCGGGTTTGATTTCTACTCTCTTGTGTTATAACTTTGAAATTTACTTGATATATATAACGATTCTTTTTTTCTTTCTATTTCTATTGGCATATATCCGCTGTTCTCTCGTACAACTTCCATTTTACTCTTAACTACTACCACTATCGTTCCGTTCTTTCTATCACTACTACTACTACTACTACTACGCGTCACCTCTTTTCTTTCAATATTCAACCTGCCAACAACCACCTATGCTTTGGGGATCTCTCTATCTATCTACATTTGAAACGGGTCTTTCACCACCACTTTCTCTATTGACTCTTCTTTCTCTTTCAAAAGTTAGTTCTTTATGCATTTCTCTATTATTTCTTCTTTTCTACGTTTTTTCCTCTCTTATCCTCTTTCACTTTCTATTATTATGGGGTGCTTTTTGACTCTACCAGGGGCTAGTGTGTGCGTGCGGTTGTGAAAAAAAAAGAAGGGAGGACGAGGGTGATAAAACAGGATGAAGAGTCTTGGGAGAGAGAGGGTGATAGAGGGGGGGGAAGAGACTAAAAGGAAAAAAGGTTTTATTCTCTTTCAAGCGCGACAAAGGGGCAGCACAGAATTACTAAATCCAAACTTTTTTGTAATAACGCTTAGACACCATGACGATACTAGCAGTAGCAGCAGCAGCAGCAACAACAACAACAACAACACGACGAAGGACACGACATGAAACGCACAAACGATTACGATAATTCCGACGGCAACAAGAAGCCTCGCTTTTCACAATCGTACAAGTAAGTTGCTGTGTGAACACCTCATCCTCCCTCACCCTTCCCTCTCTTTATTCTGCTTCTGCTTCTTTTTGGGATGCATATTCTATAACCAAGAAACTCAACACAAAAACTGTATAGTGATATGTATGCCCAATATTCTGCTATGGATCCTGCAGCGGCAGCAATGATGATGAACTCTCAGTATGCAGCAGCAGGTGGTGGACCTAATGGATTTGGCGGGTTTGCGTCTCCAAACGGCATGTATGGCGCGATGGGCTATGGCGTGCCTGGATCAAACATGGGCGCTGCCGCATTCAATGGCGGATTCGGTTCATCCGGGTACCCGCATCCAGCCTTTGCCGCAGCAGCTGCAGCCATGGGTGGTGGCGGTGGTGGTGCCAATGGTCAGCCCAACCAACCCGAAATCAGTCGCACAATCTACCTTGGCAATATCCCAGACGATATTGTAGCCAGCAACATTTTCGACACTGTGCGCGTGGGCCCTGTTGAGTCACTCAAATTCCTGATGGAGAAGAGCTGTGCATTCCTCACCTTTGTCGATCCAGCATCCGCACAACTCTACTATCAGCAGTACCTGACAAGCAAACTCGTGCTCGGCAAGAACGAGATCAAGGTCGGCTGGGGCAAATACACCCCGCGCGAGAACTTGGTCCAAGAAGCCATCAAGCGAGGCGGCAGTCGTAATGTCTACATTGGCCAGATTGACGACACAGTGACCGAGGAAACGCTCAAATACGAACTAGCCCAATTCGGCATGATCGACCAGGCACGCGTGCTGCGAGAGAAGAATATTGCGTTTGTGCATTTCGCTAGTATCGCATCAGCTACGAAATGCATCACGACATTGCCTAATGATCCTAATTGGAAAAAGCGACGTATCAATTATGGCAAGGATCGCTGCAGTATGCAAATGCCTCCTCAGCAGCAACTACCAGATAACAAGCAACAGCAGCAACAGCAGCAGCAGCAGCAACAGATGGTGGGATCGCCTGCACAACCACAGAATCAGGGACAAGATCAACAGGGGCAACAAGACCAGTATAATTTCGGTTTTCAGCATCCGATGGGTGGATTTGGTGCGTACGGTGCCGCGCAAGGCGGGTACGGTAATAACAACAACGTGGCGTTGCGCACACTGTACCTGGGCAGCATCAGTGCCGAAGCGACATGCGAAGACCTATGCAACGTGATCCGCGGCGGTGTCCTATTCCAAATCCGATATATGAAAGAAAAACACATTGCCTTTGTCACGTTCGTGGATCCCATGTCTGCTGTCAACTTGTACAACCATGCAAACACGACGGGATTAGTTGTGAAGGGACGCAGGCTCAAGGTCGGCTGGGGCAAACCCACCAATATGCATTCGTCGATCTATTTGGCGGTACAGAACGGCGCGTCACGCAATATCTATGTTGGTGGTATCAAGGACAAGTTGAACGAGGAGAAGCTGCGCAAGGATTTCGAACAGTACGGCGAAATCGAAATGATCAACACGTTAAGCGAGAAGAACTGTGCATTTGTCAACTTTACAAACATTCAGAATGCCATGAAGGCTTTGGGTGCCATGAAGTATCATGCTGATTATAAAAAGGTCAAGATCAACTATGGCAAGGATCGGTGTGGTAATCCTTTCAAGCGCCCCAATAATGCTTCCCAACAACAACAACACCAACAACAACACCACCAGGAGCAGCAAAAACCACAGAATGACGATGCCTGCATCAAGAAGGAAGGCTTTAAAGGTTTTGATGCAGAAGAGGATAAAAAATAATTTCTTTTTTTTTCTTATATGTTTTTCTTTTCTGTACCGTTTTACCCTTACCAAACTTTCATTGTGATCCACAAATGCCACAAGAACAAATGAGTATAACCCTCCTGTCTTTTCTTTTTCTTCGAATACATAAATAAAAAGAAGCCATTCCGCTTTTTCTGCAACCAAGCCTTTGTCCATACTCTGTACTTTATTGTTGAGTCTTAATATCCAAGACATGAAACAAAATATGATTTCTGCATGAGAGTATCTAACAAGGAGGGGTGATTGTGCGTGGATTGGGAAACGAAGAGATATCAAATACACAAGAATAAATGACGGTAAAGAAAAGGGTGTGCGAAATAAGGAGAATGAGAGGGCAAGGAAAGGCCAACATAGAGGAAAAGAATACATTAGTACACATCAGTTAGTAGGCTAATAACAATGTATACCGGTGGACAGTGTGAAAGAGATTCAAGATATAACTCACCAAGGATTGAGTAATGGAACAAAGGATGACCAGACGACGGGCAGCATACATGATGATCCATTTCTAGTTAGTAATCATATCTTCCATACTACTTCATGACACATGATGGTGAAGAAGAGGCCACAAAGCAGAGTAAAAAAAAAGGCATACCACCTATAAAGTATTATAAACAGAGTGAACACACATGTTTGTATCATACTTAAAAGATCCTTTCCCCCTTCTTTCAGGAGACACTCTTCCTTATAACCCTCAAAAACTTACAGTCGGCGCGAAACCCACGCGGTACTACGCCACTGTAACAGGATGGTGTGATAGTTACGGGTGAAACCAACTAATGTTTATTGATAGGTTTTGCTATGATATTATGTATATAGAAATAGGGGGGTACTACTACTTGGGATGGAGGGAGCTACGACTATTACAGCCACTGTAACAGGATGGATATCGGAAAGAGAACGATCAATTTTATTTGCAATAATACATATAAGCTAAGTTTGTTGTGGGTAGGGGAATGGCTACATCAAAACAAAGCACCAAAAATGAGTTAGAGCAGAACAACTAACAAAAGCACGTGAAAAAGAAAAAAGGAAACTTGCCTCTTCTTTGCCAATTCGATGGCCACTCGTGTAAAATAGTTTTGGTCTGCAGGACTCATCTTCCTGCACGACCCTCAGGTTACGGTACTTGTCAATTAAAGCGACCTTGCCTTGCGTGTCGGCGTACGACAAGTAACATCGCCTGTCAGAGTTGGATTGGTTCCTGTTTGTCATTGATGTTGTTGCCAATATGTCATTGAGAAATTGAGTACATTAATTTTTGGAAGGTGCAAAAGGAGAGAGAAGAACAAGCGATGCGATAATACATACCAGCCGAATTTTTCTGCGAAAGTAATGACGAAGCTATTTATAGTACACGTACTCATATGTAATTAGTGGGACACTCCACTTGACAATGGGAGCAACGGTAATGTCAGCAGCAGCAGTGAAAAATTATAATGAAGCACTTACCCAACGTCGGAAAAGTTAATAAAAGCATATCCAAAGTTGCGTTTACTGTGGAAGTTGCTCGGCAGGTATAGGAAATCATACGTTCCCTTGTTGGTTGCGTCGATTTCCTGCTTCAGCATTTGCTAAACCAAGTATGAGATAGAATAAGAGAGAAAGGTCCGTTAGGGATTTGTCGAAGATTAAGCATAGTATGTAAGCACAGAATAGCACAGTCATCAAAATCTTTGACACACACCATGTACACTCTTGCTTCTCTCCTCCATTAAAGCAGTAACCGGGCGAGGCCGAGGAGGAGACGGCTATAGAAATGAAAGAAAGCAAGAGATTTGATCGTGAGTCGTCGTGATACTTCTTGACAGACATGCACACTACCACACGCACGGCCATGCGATGGATCCCATTTCCCAAGAGTTATACGTACAGTTGGTGACGAGGAGGAGAAGGAGAGGGAGAAAGAAGCGGAAGATAAGAGGCCATAGAACTATGGATGGGTGGGAACGCGTACCTTTTTATATAAGATTCGTTGTGAATAATTGGAACAATCGATTAGATTCTTTGGCAATTGCGTGATTTGTCTGTTGTCCAATAGCCAAACGAGCGCATAGGCGATGAGGTCAACATTAAGAAAGAGCACAATGCATGTTTCAGTCAACAGTGCGGCAGAAAAACGATCGTTTTTCATTGACCATTCTACATTATTAGCTATAGTGTCGTCGTTTATTATTCGAGGATTGTATCAATATTGGCATCATTCTATAGCCACGGCTCTGCTCTACATGAATCTTTCTTTGCTGAATGACGAACATAGTCAGTTTATATGAAAAGGAAGGAAGAAGAGGTCACTGTCGCAACTGACACGAACCAACTGCATGCTTCAGATTCGATTGTTGGAGAAACAAGTTTTAGACACGGTGAAGGGAAACCTGGCATCGTTTTTTTAAAGACTAGGCAATTTCCAAAGCAATATTCCGCCGCAATTATCGTCGTAACTGTACATGATATTAGTATCATGTTAAAGCTAAAGACCTGCCCTTTCTTTTGATAACCTATTGCTAATGTGTCATGAATGGATAAAGAATGAACGGGAAGGAGTAAAGAGTTTGTACAGGACTCGTGGGAAGGCAAGTTCCCGATGCATGAATTTCCTGCAATTGCTTGCGCTGCACACAATACGGGAAAACATTGACGCGTTTGTTGTATAGAAAATGATCGTGCTATTTTGTGCGCTGTAGCATTCAAGCCAAAATTAATGAGAGTGTTATCCTCCCAGTAAGGAGGATAAAGGTACCCGACGAAGGGTTATGGTGTCGCATCAAAAGTTGAGAGGCTAAATCAATATGAAGTCACTGCGCTCAATTTAATAGTAACACTGCTCAAAAGAAAGAGTGTGTAGCAATTTGAGGTATACTACGCTAATATTTCCCTGGGACAAAAAGACTTTATATAAGCTTAGTTGTATGTCATGGTTGTTGAGGGACCAACCCTAAGCTTTTGCCTCTCAATGTGACACTTGATTATATAGACGTGGAATATCATGCGTAAAAAAGGTACATCTCGGATTTTGCGTATGACTATTGCAATTGCGCTACCGTCGACAGTGACGATAATGAAGTCCACCAAGTTATCGCTGAAAGATCAATTCTCTGACGCGTTCGTTCTGTGTGATTAGTTTTAAAATTATAAAAGCTAGTTGATGTGGACGTTTTTCCTAAGTACAGCAAGTTGGCATTTTTAATTTTCAAACCCATACTATGTATTTCGTCTTATCCATGTTATTCCATCTATTTGCATCATGGCTCTTCCGCACAAAAATCACACCCGGCAGGGTACAAGCCCTGCCTCACCCCAATCGCCCCCAAAACCGCAAAAACTCGACGTTCCTCGACTTTCATACGCCAAAGTCGTTCAGAAACATCGACAGTCGCTCATGCGACAAGAATCAGAGACTAGAGAATTGCTTGACGATAAAAACAACACCCGCACTACTCGGGTTATCCATTCCAACATCTGGCGTGTTGGTGGATCACCCGCCTCAGCAGACAGTGTCTACTTCGACGTTAGTAGCCGTACCGAACCAATCCCGCGTATTCTTGCCACCATCAACCAGCAGTTCCCCGAGAATTGTGGTGCGCAATCAATCCAAGAAGGCCCTCGCGTTATCATCGAGCTCTACTCTGAGGACCCGGAAGTGATTCAAGCTGCCTTAACCCAAGGACTTCACTTTAAAGACGGCGTTATCATTCTCGCCTGCAACACTCTATCAGGAGATGCCCAGATCAAGAAAGTGCGCCTATCCCATCTCCCCTACAGGAACCACACTGCATTAGTCGCGGGCATTATCAACAGCCTCAGCGTATACGGCAAGGTATTAGACTGCGGCATCTATTGAGACGCCATGTCCGGCATGTACTTAGGCAATGGCTTCGCGGTGCTGGACCGCCAACCTATACGAGATGAGCAACCTTACTATGACCTCGCACACAGTGTTCAATGGGAAACAACTGAAGACTGCTTCTACGCCACCTGGGCCTCCATGGCTCTACATTGCTCGCGTTGCCACAAACCCGGCCACCATGTTCGCATCTGCCCGGAACGCCCTCAGGCACATAGTGCCTGCTGGACCTGCGGACAAGTCGGGCACATTTCGGCCGGCTGCCCGGACAACCCCAACAGCTACAAAGGGAAAACTAACAAGCGTCGCCGCAACGCCGACCGTCAGACCAAGAGTACCATCTCTATCACCGCCCAGGCTACAGACAACAGCAAAGTAGTATCACAGCGTAACACCGATTCTACCGATGTGAGTCATAAGGTCAGCAAGGCTACTGTCGTGCAAGAGCCAGAACACACCACCACGGATCCCTCTGATACTGAAATGCACATATCCGACGAGAGCTTTACAACGTGGGTAGCGACACAGAGGAAGGCGAACATACCTCTGTCCCACGTCCACAAGCTACTTTCGAAGTAGTCGATGCTGCCCTACTCAATATCGAACAAGAAAAGGCTGCACGTCCTGATGCTTACCGTATTTTGGCCGATCAATTCGAAACCAAAGAAGCGTCGCCATCCTGGTACAAGGCATGGCCCATGTCTGCACACAATCGCTCGGTCCTCGAATCCATGTCGCACCGTGATCAAATGACTTTGCTCGCCTTATTGGAAGCACGTGTCACACCACCAACGGCATACAAGACGCGCAGTAACCGACAAGTTATGCTGACCGACAACGCAGATAAAGCTATCACTAGTACGCCTGGGTCGTCGTCTCACTAAGACGCGACCCAACGACTTTACGTATCCCATTTGCCAAACATCCAATCATCCATAATCACGATCAAAAACAATATACTCAAATTATGCGCAAAACAAACAATCCCGACTCGAGCCTCGTCTGAAATATTTTGCGGTCTTGCTGTTTTGGGTTCTGCTAAGCGTTTCTTCACCGAGCGAACGAGATGCCACAGACATAGTCTAAGCACTCTCCCATTTGTCCAGACTGCTTCTATAGCACAGATCTGTCCCCAGTCCTTGTCCGTAAACATGAACTTGGGTTGAAGACCAGCTTGCTTTGAGCATGCAAAAAATTCGGCAATAACACCAACACGAAATGTGTCATCCTCGCCATCGTTTACTAGCTGACTCTGTGGTGTAAGCTTCAGAAGCATGTATGCAATCGGAAACCCGGCACCGTTTACAGTTGCGACTATCCCAAATAGTTCGTATCCTGCTCGGTTTGTTTTGTATGTAGAATCGACATGGTATTCCTCTGCTAGTTGCTGTGATCCGCAAATTACATCAAATAATGGCATGGTAAAACCAATAGCCGAGTAATTGCTTTGTGCTGAGGTGAAAATCTGTTTATTGGTTATTGAATTTTATTGATTCTATTATTAATGGTTCTTGTCTATTTCTCAACGTGTCGAAGTGATTGTATACACGATCCTCACATGTATTTAATATTAAGTAGTAGCTAATCATTTAGGACATTTTGACATACCTTACGGACACCCTTGTCAGCGGCTCTGTCGACGAGCATCTCTGCCGATCTGAACTGGTTGTTGTGCAGTGTATATTGGTCTTGGATCGACTGGCACGCCCAGTAATACACTTGCCCCTGCGTTATTCTTGTCGCTTCTTGTTGAAACTGACGGATAATGTTACGATGCAGCTGTTGTGCATCCAAGTCGATGGCATTTGCAGCGATGTATGCACGTACATTTTGCGGGAAGGCGTAATTTTCGACGGCAGGTGCAGCCCTATGCCCACAGGAGTGTTCGATATTCAAGTGAAAGTAACCATTCACTCGATCGACCATGCCGCTGATGCGGCCATTGCACAAGAAAGTTGCCATACGCCGATACAAACGTACCTTACCAACGTCGAGAGTTTTATCAAGATGACGAAGTGCTTGAAACCCTGGCCAGCACAGAAGCGGCGTCTCTCCGACCAGCTAGCATAGCAGAACTCGTTCGGGCAAGACATAACGGGTATCCTTATTACTCCTAAGGACGTTTCCAACTTCCGGCAAAGATACTGTAATGTCTCGGCTATTGACAGCAAGTTTTCACCGCTTGTTGACTATTTACAAGGTCACGGTTACGTCTCACATTTATGAGATCAATTCCAACAAAGTCCTCAAGGCTCTTTTTGTGGTTCATCCCAACAACATAACTATGGCACGAAGGTAAAGGAACTAGAAAACTCTTTGAGCATTACAACTTTCGAACCGAAAACGGTTTACAAATTCTAATGGCGATCAATTAAAGGTTCCCTCATGTAATCCAAATCGATTCTACCTACAAAACGAATTTTCACAACATGCCACTTGTGAACATAGTGGGCGTAGGCAACCTTGGAACCAACAGCCTTCGTACGTTCATTATCGCGTCTGCCATTATCTCCAACGAGAACGAGGATATGTACACCTGGGTCGCCAAGAAAATGCATGACATCGTGTGGCCTGCATCGAGCTCCAGAGCTCCAGCATTGTTTATAACTGACGGCGACAATGCATTGAGAAACGCTCTGTCTGAAATCTTCCCGCAAGTTACGTCAATTCTTTGCGCATGGCACGTTGAAAAGAGTTTCATGAAGCGTTGCAAGAAGAAGTTCCCTCCTGCGTTACGTGGCCGAAAATCCGAAGAACAAAAATTCAATAAAGCCGTTGTAACCTTGTTATACGCTCGAACCGAAAAGGATTTTGAAACAGGAGTGACCGATTACCAGGAGTTGGCAAAGTTGTCAACAATTGAGGATGAACTTATCGAATATCTCAATGAGTAAGTTCAATATCTTTTATGTAAATGAGCTATGTTTAGTTCAAGATGCAAACGAATACTAATAACAAACATCAAGATCGGGATAAAAACTAGAATGCTCGAGAGCAAAGAAGACTGGGCAGGTCCTTGGTGTGAAGCAAAAAAGCATTTCGGCTGCAGGTCTACACA